GCTTTGACTCTGTGTCTTCATAGTGTGACCTAATGTAGTAGGTGACCTGTAGGGTCCAGTGACATAGCCTCCTGTATCACCCAAGCTGGGTACTCAAGGTGCACATTTGTATGGGCTTAGTACAGTCTCCTCTTGTAGTTCAGCCTTGGCTGCTATTGGTAGATCTATGGGAGGGATTTACCCAGGTCATTCAGCTATAAGGATTGGCTGTGACCACTTACCACGGATCTCCACTCTAGCTGGAGGATCAGCTGTGCAGGGACAGGGTGGTGGTGCTCTGATGTGGTCTGTAGCTGTCCACTGGGTGTGCATGCCCTGGGATTTCCCAAGTGGTACAGGCCAAGGTCAGCCCCCACCTGTGTTTTGCCCAGAGACACCTTACCTGAGCTATAAAGCAATCTGAGATGGCTGCTACTTGTGCTGGACTTGGAGAGTCTCAGGCAAAGCCAAGCTGTGAATCAAGGCTAGCTGTTACTAATGCTGGGCCTGGAGCTCACTGAGGCCAGCTGTTGCTTATTTGAGAGGACTTAGGAGGTTATGAAGCAAGAACCAAAACCAGCCATTTATATGAAAAAAAAAATAGCTTGGGTAGGCCCATAAGATGGGTGGGCAGAGTTTCTGGGGATTTCCAAGGTTGCGGGGGCGGGGGTGCGTCAAACAGTGTTAGACAGGATGATGGAGTCCTAGGTATGGCACCAGCTTGCCAGTTCTGTGGGAGGAGTGTTTAGGAAAAGGATGATGGCCTCTGCTTGCCATGTTGCTAGACACTTCAGTTTCTCCTTGTATGCCGCTGGTGCCTTTCAAACTGCTACCCTGGTGCTGGAGCTCAGAGGGAGTGAATCTGAATAGGTGAGTCCATGTGATAGTTCTTTAAGAGGATCTGCTTGGAGCTCCAGAAGTTTCTTCAACCAATTGAATCCTCGCTGGTTTTTGCAGCCAGAAGTTGTAGGTACTTGCCTTCATGGCACTGGAACTGTGAGCTGGAGGGCCTTGTGTGGGGCTGGGACTCCTCAACCTGAGATATCCCTCCTGAATTTTTATCCACCATATGTTAGTATGAGACCTGCCTGTTCTGTGTCTCTGCACCTCTTACCAGTCTGGATGGATGTGGTTTCTTTAATTCTGTAGTTGTCAGACTTCCATTCTACTTGATTTCTGGTGGTTCTGAGTGATGGTTGTTCTGTATTTTAGTTGTAATTTTGATATGGTTGTATGAAGAGGTGAGCCATGCCTGTTTATGCCGCCATCTTGAATGGAAGTCTTCAACCTTACATTCTTATGTTGAGAGAAACAATCTTAAAATTCTAAGGACCTAACTTGTAAAAATATGGTGACTTATTTCTTGGCTGCTTAAAATTAGTAGGTTGCCTCCAGAAGCATTTAGTTGTCTTGAACTTCATTCAAAACAATTTTGTTAGATTGTATTGTGACAGCTGTCCTATCAATGAGCATTTTTAAAAAATCAAAATTGGTGAATTGTGTAGCCATTTTAATATTGAAGATGGAAGAAAATGTGCAACAATTTTGGCACATTATGCTTTGTTATTTCAAGAAAGGTAAAAACACAACTGAAACACAAAAAATGATTTGTGCAGTGTATACAGAAGGCACTATGATGAATTCATCATAGTGTCAAGAGTGGTTTATAAAGTTTCAAGCTAAAGGTTTCTTACAGGACAATGCTCAATGGTTGGGTAGACCAGTTGAAGTTGATAGCAATCAAATTGAGACATTAATTGAGAACAATCAACATGAGATAGCCAATGTACTCAAAATATCCAAATCAATAAGGTTATTGGTGAAAATGAAAAATATGTCTTTTATGGAAAAAACTAAACGGACTTTTTGGCCAACCCAATAATATCTCCTGTATAACTAAACACTAGAGGTTCATAGATCAACAGTTTGATTCATTATAACTTAGGTATCTCTTGATTTAAAAAAATCTGTATTGTAATTATTATTATTTGGTCTGTTTTCTAATTCGGTCTATGGCTATAGGTAAGAAAAGGAAGAAATCTTAAATTTTTCTGATGTCCAGACATGCACCATGTAGTAGAATTGTTTATCTTTCATGCCTCTTGACAAATCAGTACATAGATTCTATATATAGTTCTAATAGTCATTTTTAAAAGTAACCTCTCTTGAAGTCCTTCCCAGTGGCTTTTGACAGTATAGTTCTCATATAATCAAACCACATGCTTCTTAAAAATGTATAATATTTATTAGCCGGTTTAACTTCATTAGGATTTTCTAGGTAATGTCTTATAAACTGATAATTCTTTCAATAATAAGAGTTCTGATCATAAAATGTTTTTAATAACACATGAAATAAATAATTTCAGACTTGCATAGAAGGATGGGCACAGGACAAGTCATAGCTTATAAGCTGCCTGGGTGTGGTCTTTACCCTTCCATTAGCAAGGGCAAAAAGCAGAGGAAAGAGCAGATAAGCATTCAGATGTAATAACATTTCACATCCTTTTTCTTTGCTATATAATATTTACATAAATTATACATTCTATACTATATTCTTTTAAAAATATATTTTATTGGTTATGCTATTACAGTTGCCCATTTCCCCCCTTCACTCTCCTCCATCCTGCACACCCCCTCCCACCCACATTCCCCCCCTATAGTTCATGTCCATGTGTGATAAGTTCTTTAGCTTCTACATTTCCCATACTATTCTTGCCCTCCCCCTATTTTCTACCTACCATCGATGCTACTTATTCTCTATACCTTTTCCCCCTTTCTCTTCCTCCCACTCCCCTGTTGCTAACCCTCCATGTGATCTCCCTTTCTGTGGTTCTGTTCCTGTTCTAGTTGTTGGCTTAGTTTCTTTTGGTTTTGTTTTAGGTGTGGTTGTTAATAATTGTGAGTTTGCTATAATTTTACTATACATGTTTTTTTAATCTTCTTTTTCTTAGATAAGTCCCCTTAACATTTCATAAAATAAGGGCTTGGTGATGATGAACTCCTTTAACTTGACCTTATCTGAGAAGCACTTTATCTGCCCTTCCATTCTAAATGAAAGCTTTGCTGGATAGAGCAATCTGGGATGTAGGTCCTTGCCTTTTGTGACTTGGAATACTTCTTTCCAGCCCCTTCTTGCCTGTAATGTCTCTTTTGAGAAATCAGCTGACAGTCTGATGGGAACTCCTTTGTAGGTGACTGTCCCCTTATCTCTTGCTGCTTCTAGGATTCTCTCCTTCATTTTTACCTTGGCTAATGTAATTATGATGTGCCTTGGTGTGTTCCTTCTTGGGTCCAACTTCTTTGGGACTCTGAGCTTCCTGGACTTCCTGGAAGTCCATTTCCTTTGCCAGAATGAGGAAGTTCTCCTTTATTAGTTGTTCAAATAACTTTTCCACTTGTTGCTGTTCCTCTTCTCCTTCTGGTACCCCTATAATTCGGATGTTGGAACGTTTAGAGATGTCCCGGAGGTTCCTAAACCTGTCCTCATGTCTTTGAATTCTTATTTGTTCATTCTTTTCTGTGTGGTGGTTTCTTTTTTCCTTCTGGTCCACTCCACTGATGTGAGACCAGCTTTCTTTCCATTATTATTGGTTCCCTGTGTATTTTTCTTCATTTCACTTATTGTAGCCTTCATTTTTTCATCTAATTTGCGACCAAAATCAACCAATTCTGTGAGCTTCCTGATCACCAGTGTTTTGAACTTTGCATATGATAGGTTGGCTATTTCTAGGTTGCTTAAAAGGATGGGGGTTCTGGGGCTTTCATTTGGTCTTCTGTTTGAGCCATCTCTCTCTCTGTCTCTCTCTTTTTGGTCTGGTCGCGCCTGTTACATATGAGGGGCGGAGCCTTAGGTGTTCACCAGGGCAGGGCACCCCAGTCGCTGGGTTGTGATGCCATATGTGGGGGTGGGGTCGAGAGGGAACAATGGTGCTTGCTCCATTCTCTGTGGGACCTCTGTCCCTTCTGCAGCTTCCCCTGAGCAAACTGGGCCACTCTGGTGCCAGTTCCTGTGTGGGTGGGCTTGTGCACACCGTGGGACCCTCCAAGGACCTCTCCTGTGAGGCTAGTTGTCTCTCTGTGGGCCTCAACTCCCACAGGTGTCCACAATCAGTGTCCCGAAGCTCTGTTTCCCAGCGCTGGGATCCTGGGTTGCGCGAACTGCCTTGTTTTACAATCACCACCTCACTGGGTATGCCGGTGCCACCCCTCGGCTGGGGTCTGTTAGCTGCCAGTTGCACACTCAGGATCCACCTGCTGCGGTCTTGCGCACCCCAGATACCTAACGTGCCCAGTCCCGACTCTCTGCTCTCCACACTGCGACCTGCGCCTGGCTGCCCGACTCCGCCCCTCCTACTGGTCTGGATGAACGGGTCTATTTCAACTTCTTGGTTGTCCGACTTCCATTCAGATCAATTTTCTGTCAGTTCTGGATGTTAATTCTGTTTCTAAATTGTTGTTGTCCCTATCTTGGTTGTGCAAGGAGGCATGGTGTGTCCACCTATGCCTCCATCTTGGCTGGAAGTCTATATTTATTCCTAAAATAAGACATAATGATGAGATATTTTTAGTTCAGGGAGGGATTTGAGTATATAAATCACAATTATTAATGCAGTGGGATGAATTGTGTCCCCCCTTAAAGTGATGTTGAAATAGAAATACCTAATACCTTAGCGTGACTGTTTTTGGAGATAGTGTAAAGAGATAATTAATACGAGGTCTGTGAGTGGGCCCTAATTTGATATGACTGTTTTTAGGAGAGATTAGGATACAGACACACAAGAGGGAAGACCATGTAAAGACACAGGAGAGGCTGGCCATCTACAAACCAAGGAGAGAGAAGCCTCGCAAGAAACCAAATCCTGCCAACATCTTGATCTTGTCCTCTGGCCTCCAGAATGGTGAGAAAATCAATCTCCGTTTAAGCCACCCAGTCTGCAGTATTCTGTCATGGTAGCCCCAGCAAATGAATACAATTAATAAGAACTTAAAAAAAAAACAATTGATGACTAGTTTCAGGATTATATATTTTTAATTTGAAACAAATTGGCACTCCAAAATGCACTTATTTTCATCTTATTTTGCACTTCTGTGGAACTTTATTTTACCCTCAGGGTTTTCAGGCTAGCAGTGTATTTTCTCTTAATAGTTACAATGGTAAGTTTTCTGAAGCACCTCTTACTATGTTACTTCATGGTTTGCTGAATGAAATTCACTGACGTTCCTTTGAATGTCTTGTGTTTTTCTTCTAAAGTATAAACAATATTTGAAATTTAGACCAGTTGGAGCACATTACAACATTAGACAAGTTTTGGACTTTTTGTCATCAGCACCACCTCCTGTATCTTCTGCAACTAGTAAAAAGGAGAAAAGCAGTGTTATTGGGAGTCTGTGGGCATACAATGTTTTTATTCTAACACTCTGTTAATATTAGTATCAACTTTATAGCCTAATTAGTAGTTTTAACTTATAGCAAATACTAAGGGCTTGACCATTTAAAAATTTGAAGTCATATTCAGAATTGGTCCACTTAAAAATAGAATCTAATAAATGATTAGCCATTCATGACATCTGTTTCTCAAGAGAACCACTGAACTACACAATCTGGGAATCAGAGTTGTTGCTTTGTACAGGCACAAAGCTTATTGCCTGGAGATACAAAATAATGCTCCTAGTTCACAGAGATTTCTCAATGTAATTGGAAAAAAATTCAGAAGTAATTTTTTATGCACATAAAGTGTAGAAGATCCAATATACTGAATACTAAAAGGAAATGTCAGGAGCCACTTAAAGGACCTGATATCCTGTTCATCATAAATTTGAGGTAAAGATTAAATTTAGTTATACTAAGAAATATCTTTGCTGTCATTTGCTCAGTAAAATTACCACTTTTGTTTATCTTTTTGAAGTGAAAATTAGATCTTACTGCTTTCCGGTTTAAATCCTTTAATGACTTCCCATTGCTCTGTGGAGGACAGATCCTTAGCAAGGCCTTCAAGGCAACACACAATCTGGCAGAGCTGCCTGCATTGCCAGACGAGTACCAGCTTCCTCTGGTACTTTGTCTGCGTTGCTTTCTAGCTTCCAGCTACACCACTCCTTAAGGTCACTTCAAGGCCTTTGTATATATTCTCTTCTTTCCCTCCCTCCCAGCCCCTCCTCCTTTCTTGCTTAGCCAAAGCCTAATGTGTTGAGAGTTTAGCCTTAGCATCCTTCTTCCAGAAAGTCTTCCCTGATGCCCCAGGTTCACACGTCATGCTTCCTCTGATAGATAATCTGTCGTTCATTTACTGTTTTAATATCTAGCTCCCTCACCAGATGGTTAACTCTGCAAGATAAGGGCCCCATCTTTTGCCCAGTAAGTACATAAGTGAATGGATATCAAGGGGTGAGAAACTCCTATTTTTATTCTGTTGAAGGACATCCTTAACTTCTTAAGCAAAATACTTTCTCCCTCTATGAAGGCTTTCAAATACCACTAAACACAATAGAACCATCTAAAAGGAATGTTATATCTTGTTTTGCAAGGTCTTTCCAGATAGAGATGATTTCTTTGTTCAACAGTAAGAATTCTTTTTAAGATTTTATTTATTTATTTTTACAGAGAGGGGAGGGGGGGAGAGAGAGAGAGAGAAAGGGAGAGAAACATCAATGTGTGGTTGCCTCTTGCACATCCCCAACTGGGGATCTGGCCTGCAACCCAGACGTGTGCCCTGACTGGGAATCAAATCAGTGACCCTTTGGTTTACAGGCCAGCACTCAATCCACTGAGCTACACCAGCCAGGAACAATAAGAATTTCTTTCTTTCTTTCTTTTTTAAGATTTCATTTATTTATTTTTAAAGAGAGGTGAAAGAAGGGAGAAAGAAGTAGAGAAACATCGATATGTGGTTGCCTCTCGCACATCCCCAACTGAGGACCTGGCCTGCAACCCAGGAATGTGCCCTGACTGGGAATCGAACTGGCAACCCTTTGGTTCTCAGACTGATGCTCAGTCCACTAAGCCACGCTAGCCAGGGAAGGAACAATAAGAATTTCTTAACAAAACTTTTTGAGTGCTGAGCTCTCAACACAAAATAAGTCATCACATTAGCATTCCACTTTAAAGGTGACACTTTAAGACATCTGATGAACTAATAGTTGACCCTGAGCTTCTTAACAGACTTTCTGAGAATGTTCAACCTAACTGAGTGACCCCTAGGAGAACTTTCATCAGGAAAAACAGCACTCCATGGAGACATTGGAGGCACAGGCAAAGTCTTAGAGTACCTGTCAAGTCACCTCATTCCACTGGCTAGCTTTACTTGACATGTAGGGCTTCGAGGAGATCTGTAAAACCTCATTATATAGGGAAGAATATTAAGCTCAGAGAGGTTCAAGTTACTCAAAGTCTCACAGTGAATGCATAACAGTTGGAACAAAAACTGTTTTCTCACATGACCCTGGTCCCACTGATTCTATGGTTTTCACCATCATAAGCTATGGTTGTTACTTCTACAAATTCAGTATTGTGCCGAGGGACCTCAGGAGCCACCTTCTAGAGTGGATGAAGAAGCCTAGCCCCAACCCCTCCTTCTACCGGACTGGGAAATTCCCAGAAGGTCTTGTTTTTAAGGGTTGGTGAAAAACAGTAACCAACTTCTTAAAATTATCAGACAGTGTGCAGTAAGGCAAGTTTAATGTTTGTATTTACTTTTTATGCTTTTATCACGTGAGATTAAGCTCAGCTTGACTTCTGGCTGCTTACAAGAAGGAAAAACAGATTCCATCTAACCTTTTTCAATTGTGTTTCCCTCTTCCTGCTTTTCTGCCTCCTCTTCACTTACCTTCACCTTTGCATTGTATTTGTCGGCTAGGGATTTCCATTTCATCCTGTTATTCTGAAGGCCATTCAGCATAGGTGTGACTTCTTTGTGAAACCGTGAAAACTCCTACAGAGAATGGGGTCAAAAACTACTTAAATTATATGGTTGATATTCAGCACTTCTCATATGCAGAGGAGCTGTAAGACCTTGTTGCCTAGCTCAGAGCTGCTGGATTGGACTTAATTCAGGGCCTTGGAAACTGAATTGGACAGACACTGTCTTTCCTGCCTGCCTAAAGCAGTCTGTTCAATTTGCTCTCCCCCGAGTTCTTTCTCCTTTTATTCCACTCCTGAATGAGAAATTAGGATAATACCTCAAACTACTTTGGAGAAATAAGTTTGAAAGAAAAATTCTCATCCAGATGATTATGTATTTCACTCAAAAAAATCAATTCGTTTACTTACCTTGTATACAAAAGTACAAACAAAATCAATAAATCCAACTTGAAGTTTAGGTAGTTCATCTTTTTTGTTTCTGTCCATCATAGGCTAGGAAAAAAAATAAATCCCTTAAAGATAGTTTTCTAAGGTTCAGAGAACAAAATAAACTGACTTGTATCAATAATTTTTAATAAGCAGTGTGTGTTTATGTCAGGGTCTTTACAATAGGCTGTTGCTGCAGCACCGTTCTCTCCAGGTCTCCTTGTTCCCAAAATTCACTTGCTACAAGAAGTGCTACCTGCAAATGAGAAAGACTCAGTTCATGAAAGCAACTTACTAATGGAGAATTTGCATTGTATTAGTATACATGACATTTAAGGATAGGGTTTATAGTTAATGTTTGTGGTATTGTCATAGTGTATGCTCTGTGGTTTTAAAAAGATGTCATTTACAGATTATATTGAAATGGGAAAGGGAATTTCTACTACCAGTTCCAGAGTCATTCTGGGAGGGCCAACCTCCTGTTTGCTATTGCCGCCACCTCTCAACAAAAAAGGGGAGATGGGAAGATGTTTAACTCCATTATATTATGCTTTAAGCTCTAAAGCCTTCCAAGTCCTTCTTTTGTTCTGCCTATCTATCAGCATCTAGCATACATCTGCATGTGCAGTATACACAAGGACTCACACATATGCACACAGAGACTAGAACACAGCTTTACTTGATTACAGTGTATAGATATTTGAGGGGTAATGTATATAGTTTTTAAAAACCCAATATCAAGTTTATTGAACATCCACTAGCTGTTTCACATTGGCATGAGTCAGGCTTGCTGAGAGGAATAAGATGTGACATTTTTCTTTAAGATGCTCACAGTTGTAGTGAAGACAGTCATGTTAACAGTGTGGTTATTGCTATACAAGTAATATGAAGTACTGTGGATCATGGAGACAAAAGTAAAGTTTAATAAAGAAGGGAGGTTGCACATTGAAGAAGAGATTTTAGGAGCAAAAGCACTAGTGATTCATCCTTGTTCTGATTTATTGTCTCTGTTAAAAAGAAAATCACACAACCCCTGAATAATTATACATAAACTCTTTACAGCCTGTTCAGTGGTAAGGAATTCTTTCAAGAAAGCATTTTCTTTCAATATCCCTTCTATTTGTTTTGTTCTGGGGCCTGACCAAAAAGACCTGCTGTTTTTCTGACCTTTGTGAGCTCTTGACAGCTATTTGCCTTTCTTCATGAACGGAAACCTAACAGGGAATATTTTATTTTTGTCTTAACTTCTCAAGTTCCTCTTTCCTTCTAAACTCTAAACTGATTGTTTGAAAGAACCAGTCCAGGGTAATGAAAGATCATTGCTTATAAAATATATAATCATATAAGTGATAGCTATAATGAAACTCAGAGGCTGCCAGATATCCTCATGTTCACTTCTATACAGGACTTAGGCAGTACCTGAGACTGTGACAAAAAAGGAAACATAAATTCATTCACCTGACTTTGTACCTCCCAGGGTTTGGTTACAGCTGACAGGTCACATGCAGTCATCATCATTGCCCTTTGGAAGACAACAAAAATTGTTAATATAGAAAGAAATTCAAAATAGGTTATTTTTGCCAGAAGAGGAATAGATGACTACTCACATGATAATCTCTTTTTTGGTTGGATCACTGGTTACATATTTGATGGCCTCTTCTTCAGTTTCCATTTTTTCACAAGCATCAACAATTTTCTGAAACATGGTTCTCTTCCTACAAAATGATACAGCTGTGCTTTTTAAATATATAACATATAAAACCAGAGATAAAAAGGTGTCTTTCATGTGCTTCTCAGATCTCCTGAACACGTCTATCTAATGACTCTTGCTGGTATGGACCCCAAGTTAAGAAGTTACATTTTATAATATATCTGTGCATAAAAGTATATCATATTTGCATGACTGTATCTGGGACGAGCTTTATCCACACTGTATTATTCAGTTAAATCATCTTACTGTGTAAGCTCTGTTGGGCCAACTTTTGTGAACACAATGTGGTGTAAAATTGAAGCTATGCAAACAACCCTATAGCAATCTCATTTCTAGGGAGAGTTTAGAGGAAACTTTCATATATACATACATATATATGTATGTATACATATGTATACATATGTATGTATATATATATGCAAGGACATACAATGTAGTATTGTGGGCAATTCTGAAAAATTCAAAATAATCTAAATGTCCATGAATAGAATGACTAAGTTAATTATAGTATATACATACAGCTGAGTATACAGTGAAAACAAATGAGCCAGATCTCCATTTACCACCAAGGTAAATCTTTATTTTTATTTTTAAGTTTTAATCCTCACCCAAAGATATGTTTATTGATTTTCAAGAGAGAGAAACATCAATTAGTTGCCTCCTAAACACTCCCCCAGCCAAGGATCAAATCTGCAATCTAGGTATGTGCCCTGACTGGGGATCAAGCCCACAACCTTTCAGTGTATGGGACAATGTTCCAATCATCTGAGCCACCCAGCTGGGGCACCAAAGTAAATCTTTAAAAGAAAATGTTGCATGAGAAAAGCAGGTTGGGACTTCCAGTCAAGGTGGAGGCTTAGGTAAACATGCCTCACCTCCCTGCACAGGTACAGCAAAAAGTATAACTATATTACAAAATAAATAGCACCCAGAGATATCAGAAAATCAAGCTGTATGGAAGTCTGACACCCAAGGATTTAAAAAAGCCACATTCATCCAGATGGATAGGAGGGGCAGAGATGCAGAGATGCAGAGATACGGAGCCGTGTAGAGAGGTGTGGGAAGGTGGAGAGGTGCAGAGAAGTATGGAGATGAGGAGTGGCATGGAGAGGCACGGAGACACAAAATGGGCTCTCCCACATACACATGTGGTGTGTAAAAATCAGGAGGATACCTTGGGAGTAAGTGATACAGCCCCAGACCAGATCACTTGGCCCAGGGTTCCAGAGCTAGGAAGATAAGTTCCCATAACTTCTGACTATAAAAACCAATGAGGGTTGGGGTGGCAGAAGAAACTGCAGGATTCTCAAGAGATTCCCCTTAAAGGGCTCACAACCAAATGTGGACTCACGCAGACCCACCCACTCTGGAATTCAGCACCAGGGCAACAGCTGGTAGGGTACCAGTAGCATACTGGTAGGGAGAAACTGAAGTGACTGGCAACACAGCAAGTGCCAGGAGACAGCTTCCTCCCCCAGGCAAAACTCCAGAGGTCAAGCAGTGGCATTGTCCCCTCTCTGAGTCCTCCCCCACACAGAGCCACAGAGTGGTGACATAGGTTGCCCCATCCTGGCCATTACCTAAGGCTCTGCCCCATACAATTTACAGGTGCCTTTTCTACAATAGGCCATGCTACTAAGACAGAGAGTCAAAGCAGCTCTACCTAATACACAGAAACAAACACAGGGAGGCTGACTGTAGCATCCAGCAAACGCGAGAACAAATATCGGAGACTTTCAGGGTATCAAAGATGTTACTTTATTGACCAAGTTTAACCTGCGCAGGGGCGAACTCTCAAAGTGTCCAGCGACACAGTGCCCACAAGGAGCTGCAAACGAGAGCTGCACCAGGCGCTTACAACTACGTTCTTATATATGGGCGGGCAAGCAAGCGTTATACAGAAGCAGACGTGGCAGTTAGTAATTCGCTTACAAAGACCACGTGCAGGAATTTCAAACCAAGCATTCTTTCATAAGGCGGGAAGGCAGGATGTTTGTTCATTAACCTAGTAATCTCCTGGCTCTAGCTAGCTAGGTTCTTATTTTCTGATTAAAACTACAAAGCATGGGTTATCTAGCCTACCCAGGGGAGAGCATCTGCTAGACACAGGATGTTTGCTTAACTGTACTCTGGCTCTTTTATCATTTCTTTTTAGCTACAATGTGGTTCTTGTCTATTAAGGTTAAATTTAGTTCTTAATTTCCTTGTTCCCAACACTGACAAAATGAGGAGACAAAGAAATAGGGTCCAAATAAAGGAATAGAACAAAATTCTAGAAAAAGAAGTAAATGAAATGGAGATAAGAAACCTACCAGAAGAGTTCAAAACACTGGTTATCAGGATGCTCAAGGAACACAATAGGTACTTCAATAGCATAAAAAAAACACCCTGGCAGAAATGAAGGTTACATTAAGTGAAATAAAGGAAAACCTACAGGGAAACAACAGTGGAGGGGATGAAGCCAAGAATCAAATCAACAGTATGGAACATAAGGAAGAAAAAAGCATTCAATCAGAACAGCAAGAAGAAAAAAGAATTGAAAAAAATGAGGATAGGCTAGGAACCTCTGGGACATCTTCAAATGTACCAATATTCTAATCATAGGGTACAAGAAGGAGAAGAGGAAGAGCAAGAAATTGAAAACTTACTTGAAAAAATGATAAAAGAAACCTTCCCTAATTTGGTGAAGGAAATAGACATACAATAGTCCAGGAGGCACAGAGTTCCAAACAAGTTGGACCCAAAGAAGACAACACCAAGACACATCATAATTAAAATGCCAAAGGTTAAAGATAAAGAGAATCTTTTTTTGTAAAGATTTTATTTATTTATGTTTAGACAGAGGGGAAGGGAGGGAGAAAGAGAGGGAGAGAAACATCATTGTGTGGTTGCTTCTCACGCACTCCTCAGTGGGGACCTGGCCTGCAACCCAGGCCTGTGCCCTGACTAGGAATTGAGCTGCTGACCCTTTGGTTTGCAGCCCAGCACTCAATTCAGCAAGCCACACCAAGCAGGGCAAGAGAGAGTCAAAGCAGTAAGAGAAAAGCAGAAAGTTATCTACAAAGGAGTTCCCATAAGACTCTGAGCCGTTTTCTCAAAAGAAACTTTGCAGGTAAGAAGGGATTAGCGAGAAGTATTCAAAGCGATGAAAAGCAACATTCATAGATTCTTGAACCTAGACTACTACAACCTAGATTACTCTGTCCAGAAAAGCTATCATTTAGAATTGAAGGGCAAAAAAAAGGTAAAACTAAAGGAGTTTATCATCACCAAGCCATTATTATATGAAATGCTAAAGGGAATTATATAAGAAAAAGAAGATCAAAACTATGAACATTAAAATGGCAATAAAATTCACAACTACCAACAATTGAATCTAAAAAAACCCCCAACAAAACAAAACTAAGCAACAAGCAGAACAGGAACAGAATCATAGATAGGGAACTCATTTGGAGGGTTATCAGCTGGGAGGGGGAAGGGGAAGAATAGGGGAAAAGGTTCAGGGATTAAGAAGTACAAATTGGTAGGTATAAAATAGGGGTATGTTAAGAACAGTATAGGAAATGGAATAACCAAAGAACTTATTTGCATGACCCATGGACATGAACTAAGGGGAGATTACTGGAGGGAATAGGGGTACCAAATAGGGGGGGCATTGGGGGAAAATTGAGACAACTAAAAGCATAATAAAATATATTTTAAAAAATAAAGAGAATAAGCAAGTTGCAGAAAGGTATGTACAGTATGGTGCCATTTATGGAAAATTTTAAAGCACTTCATAATCACATATAAAAACACAGATGGAAAGGATGGATGGTAATGTCTGTGAGAGTGAAGGGAAGGGTCTTTCCTGGTGGGTTGGTGTGGGGTAGGACGCCTCACTTCCATCACTTATTTCCTCCTTAAAAAAGAAGAGATCTAACACAGGTGTGGCAAGTCTTAACATTCGTTGAATCTGAGTTATGGATATTTGGACATCAATTATATCATTCTAAGTATCTGTCTTCATGTATGATTTATTTAATAATTAAATTTTTAATTAAGAAGGGTCGGAGAGGCACAATTTGATATTGCCCATCCACATCATGAATGTTTGGATCCTATAACTTTTCACATTGTTCTAAACCATTTTTAACAAGCAACTTTATTCACTGACGAGAAGCATCTGGTCCTACGTAATTATTATTCTAAATAAGCTAGCACTCTCCTGTATATAACTCAGCATTCTAAGACTTTGGTTAGTGCTCATCAGTGTCACCACGAGTGTTCATCTCCCTGACGCTGACAGGATCAAATGTCAGAGTCCAGACCATGGTGGATTCACCAGGGCAAAAAGTCACCTCATAATATTTGGTGGTATCACTCTTCTGCCACGGTATTCAGCACCAACCTTGCTGAATATTCTTCAACTCAAACTTCTTCAGATAATAAACTACTTCCAGATGTCTAGTAAGTTTACTACCGGACATCTTGAAGGTATTCTATTAATAATCCAAAAGGAAAATGAATAAATGTGTGTGTGAATAAATCCCTTTGAAGTTCAATGTCATGGATCATTTATGGAAGGAAGAACCACACAGATATAAGGAAGTTATGCACTTACTTGAAGTATAAAGCCAGGTCAGTTGCTATTATTGCAACTTCAAACAAATGAATAACTGTTTCAAATTGGTGTTTGTTTAGATTCTGGAAGATGTTTAAACTCTGCAAGATGAAAATTCATAATAAAGTGCAATCATTAATTTGCCTGGGATTCAACAAACCAAAGTATACCTAACAAAAATAAAGATTATTCTATTACAAAGAGAAGAAAACTAGGTCTTCCACTGTTTAGCTTTCAATTTTTGTATCTTGGATTAAGTAAACTTCTCTACTTTGAATAAGATAACTTATCTATAAAAATAGATATTATTAGCAAATATTCATGTGATTTATGAATTTATTCAAAAGTGTTTTCTTCCAGGACCACTTAAAAATAATAACAGATTAAAATTTGCTCGTGTTAATTGAAGAGCTTTAGTAAAGAATATCTTGTAGATGTTCAATTGTTAGACATGTTGAATTATTCACCAGGTAGCTTCAGAGGGATCACAGAAACTGTTGCACAACTTTCAGAAGCTGCAAATTACACTAGTGTTCATGCATATGTAGGAAAAATCATGAAATCCTTCTAAGCGGTTCTTAAACATTTTTTTTGCAATTATATTTTACAAAGATTTAAGTAGACCTTTCTTCAAAGAGCTTCACATAATGGATGGGCATCATTTCTTTGTGTTCTAGAAAACCAGAGTATAAAGTTGGGAGTGGTTTTTAAAAGTTCTGATATTCCCAGTAGACGGTTTTGGACATATAGGCCAAAGGACAGATGTATGGTGGTTTTGCCAAATGGAGTTTCCTGTTACGAAATACAGGAAAAGTTTCACTGGAAATAAAGGAGGAAATAGTCTACCAACCTATGTAGGGCCACAGGCAGCATAACACAGACAAGTACACTGGACTAAACACCAGATAATGATAACAGCTCAACATAGTGCTTACCACTTACCAGGCACTGTTCTAAATGCGTTATGGATACTCTTACTCTCACAACAAACCACAACACAGAGAGGTTAAGTAACTCACTCAGGTTAAACAGCAAGTACGTGGCAGAGCTGGAGTCTAAACCAGAGTAGTGTGGCACTAACCCGCCTCTCAGCAAGAAGCCCAGGTTCAGTTCCCAGACTCACCACTTGGTAGTTGCATAATCCCGGCCACGTCACTGAACATCTGTGAGTATTTGCTTTCTCAAACGGGATAACAACAGCTGCCCTGCCTAACTGCCTAGCACTTAGTCTATGATCGATGAACATTTGTGGAATGTTGACTCAACTGAGATAACTGAGAATGCATTTTAAAACCATAAATTGCTACAAAGGCTGTATCATTATTCTTGTTATATGAAGCTTTGAAGCTAGCTTCAGGTTAAAATAGAACTGCAAGCCCAAGACCAACTCTGGTTCTCTGTCCTTCCAGGAGATTGAAACATTAGAAAGCAAGAAGTGGACAAAACTCAAGTTTTCTATATTATATGTTTTACAAACCTTCACTTAAGTCATCTTTTTGAATAACAGCTTCTGGGACAAAAAATAAAAGGTATTTTACACAGCAGATATAAGTAGAAGAAAGGGAAGATGTGATATTTTTTGTTAAAATAATAAGTTCATAATAGCAATGACAGTTAGTCTTTTTGAATTGATGTAACAAAAAATATCTGTTGAATACTCCAAGAAGTAAAAGAAACAAAAGAAAGCTTGTCTAGACCAAGATCAAGTTCTTACTTGAGAGAGTTCACAGCAGGCCCTTGGGCATATCAACCCATATTCTCTGAACCAAACTTTTTGGATACAGGGTATTTTCAACCTGTCTGGATTGGCCAGGGAGGAGGAAGAGGAAAGGGGTCATTTGTTACTTTAATCCCACTTAACCTGCACCATGGTGGCCTTTGGACTCATGGTGACCCAATGGCTTGTTGATGTCAGTGAGTCACTGTCTTTATCTGTTCACTGATACATGTTTTTATGCTCCAAAAGCTATGTGCACATTATTTGCACATATTTGTGGATCCAGTAACACTTAAAGTCATCCTTGATTGCTGTACTGAAGGAAAACTGGGAGTGTGTGTGTAAATGCCTTAAACTTTTAGACAAATTAACATTAAAAGCACATGAGTCATTTTAATACTTATTGTATACTGAATATTTGCTAAGAGAGTTGATCTCAGGAGTTCTCAGCACACACGCACAGAAAGGTACATATGTGAGGAGATGGATATGTTAATTAGCTGGACTGTAGTAATTATTTCACTATGTATATGATCAAAACATCATGTTGTACACCTCAAATACATGCAATTTAAAAAATAACATGAAAATAAACAAGAAGTTAAAAGAGCCAAATAAAAACAGAACAGGAAAGGGAGAAAAGCAAAACGGGCCCCTGAATTTAAATCAATAATCCTTTGGGCTAGAATCCCCGCTCTCTGCCAAGTGTCAGACCGCACAGAACACATCATCTAACTATTGACCAAATCAGAATTTGTTTTTATGCACCAATTATTTTGATGTATGTTGCTTCTATTTGCAAACTTAGATACCTGTTGCTATCTGCTAAATACATGTGTGTGAGAGAAGGTTACATACAAAGAGAAATAAAAAAATAAATATGACTGACCCTGCTGTACTCCATTTGTCATATCTTTTCCAATCCAAAATAATAAAGCAGCTGCATTAAAGCTAACAGATTATCAAAAGGTCTTTCGCTTTACTAAGCAAGTCAATATTGGATTTAAAAAAAGATGAATAATGGCATACTTTTAAAATTGGTATAATTAAGGAAAAGGGGTGTACATTCAACGTTTTAGCGCTGCCTTTTAAATAGCATAATATACCTAAATTTCACTCCTTTTTTTCTAATTTATTTTTACTTTTATCTAAAAACATGTACACATATACTAATTGAAAAACCCTTTCTTAATTCTATATTCTTTCATATTTTTTCTTTGATTCCTTTCACAGTTAAATTTCTTAAAAGAAAAGCTTCTCGGTGGTTTCTTTTTAAGCAATGGATACAGATTCAAATAAAATATCGTGCTTCTGTTTTGTATTAGTTGCTGGAAATCTCGACCAAATTTGCAGCCCATGTCTAATAAATGTTTATATCTCACCATACACATATTGGGAACACTTTGGGCATTTACCATACTTCATCTTATTTTTCCATTAACCTTCATTTTCCTTCTTTTTAATTTAAATGTATTGGGTTGGCCAAAAAGTCCGTTACATTTTTTCTGTATGATAGCTCTAGTAGTGTTTAGTTGTCTAACTTCATTTGAAACAATTATGTTAGATTTCATTGTGACAGCTGTCATAATAGTGTGCATCTACAAAAAACTTATCAAAATTGGTGAATTTTTGTATAGCCATTTTAATATTGGAGATAAAGAAAATATGCAACATTTTTAGTGTATTATGCTTTATTATTTCAAGAAAGGTAAAAAATGCAACTGAAGTGCAAAATATTTGTACAGTGTATGGAGAAGGTGCTTGTGACTGATCAAATGTGTCAAAAGTGGTTTGCAAAGTTTCTTGGTACTATTGACATTTTGGCCAAATAATTCTTTGCTGTGGGCTGTTATGCATTGGAAGATGTTTAGCAGCACCCCTGGCCTCCACCCACTAGAAGCCAATAGCGGGAGACAGCTGATATACTCAAAATATCCAAATCAATAAAGTTATTGGTGAAAATGAAAAATGAAGTAAGCAATGGCAGAGCCTATGACCCTTTAATTAGAGCAAGGGCCCACTAACTCAAAGAGTCTATTTTTATTCTCCCCCTACTATTAAAGTGGCAATAAAAATATAAATTCTGCGTAGTATACCAAAATAGGTAGATGCGGCTCCAATTCATTCTGATTAGGGCTGCCAGGCGAGGAGCTACAGCAAGTGCAGGCAGATCCAGTCTGAGTGTTGGAGAACATGGCCGCCATGTTCACAGCCCACTGGTGACCGTGCATGAGATCTTTCTTCTTTGTGCCTCCTTTGTATAACGTGGGGGTGGTATAAAAAAACATGAATAGAACTACCATATGCTTTGTAAAGAAGTGTTTTTGAATAACAAAAGTGTTCTGTTATTTGTACTGAGCAATTTATTTTGTCATTTCTACAGTACATTGTAGTATTAAAATGTTTATTCTTACAAATGTGACTGACAAAGTTTTTCCAGCTATTCACTCAAGTTAAAGGGTGGGTTTCTGTCAGGTTAGACTATGGGTGGTTCTAATTCTGAAAGCAGTAAATGCCACTCTGCTGGGATGTCAGGATATTTTAGGTCGAAGCCTTGTAATATGCAAAACAAAGTGTCATGTCCACGAAATGCCGAAATGCTAGATAAATCCTAAAAATTTTCCTTATTAGAAAATTAAAGGTTTTTAATGTAAATATTTTTCATATAAAAGTAAGTAAATAAAAGAGTTGTATTGTCTACAATGATGGCTAAAGATTTCATTTTTTTCAGCATTCAGTTTGCCTGCTTATAAAAAGCTCTGTGATTGCATTGCCTAGCGACTCTATTTACAGGCCTTAAAAGTCTGCAATTAGTAGGTTGAATAGCATTGTAGACAGGTCCTCGCCAAGGTGGTAAAGATTACTGAGATGCAATATGCCTTTTTAGAAAGAATAATAAACCTTTACCTAGCCACCGAAACCAGTTCAGACTGCAGAGTAAATAACATTAAAAAAATAAGATGGAAAACCACCACTCTTATTATAAACTCGTCAGTCCCAGAAGGGGAGAACATATGAGATACAAGGAGGCTTCCAATGTTAACCATTTAAATATTTGGCCATAGTTTTTAAACATATTTTCCTTTAGTAAATAAATGTAAAATTAAATAATAAAAATAAAAGTATATTTGACATAATCTACCTGTGTTAGCACATAATCACTGGAAATTATAGAAAATTCTTACTCAAAAATATAAGATTGTCTTATGGAGCAAAACAAAAATTCATAACAAATTGAGTAATTAACAATTTACTCTTCCCTCTCTGAATCACTTTTAACTGTTCTTTTAATTCTCATAAAACAGATATTATCATTTTTTTGGTATAAATTCTTCTGCAGGGAGAGGTTCTGGCTATGCATCAGAATTATTAAAGTTTTTGTTGAAAATGCAAATTTGCTGGCCCCCACCTCAGAGAGCCCAGTTAGTGAGTTTGACAGGAAGCCCAGGATCTGTTTTTAACAGCCTGCCCACCCCGCCCCATTAAATCGATGATTCTGACGCAGCTTGTCGAGGTCCCCATGTCCTGGCGCTGCATCAATCATAGGCTATTAAAAACACACGTCACTTTTTCTTTTTTCCATTTTTGTTCCTCATCACTCTGCCTCATAAATTTTCCCACTTGGCTTTCCATTACCTAGAAAACTGTAGTGTTATCTCAAAACTTGGAACATATTTCTGTGTATTCCTTCCCCTGAGCCTTTAATAAAAGATTATTATAGAAACTGAGAAAAGCGACCAATGAGCATCTGCAATTCTAAATAAGTTCTCTGCCGTGACAAAACAGTGTTCCCCTCTGCCTAGTAAATGACTCATTTTAATTGTTTTTGGTTTGGAACTTTCTCAAGTGATTTTTTTAAAAGTACAACTAGATTATATCCATAACTTTCCCACAAGCCTGTGTACCCCTTAAATAAAATTTCCTAAAGTATATTTTATTGATTATGCTATTAAAGTTATCCCATTTTTGTCTCCCCTTTATTAGGCTCTGCCCTGCAACCCCCTCCTACTAGCATTCCCCACCCTTAGTTCATGTCCGTGAGTTGTACGTGTAAGTTCTTTGCTTTTACATTTCCCATACTATTCTTAATCTCCCCCTGTCTATTTTGTACCTATAATTTATGTTTCTTATTCCCTGTACATTTTCCCCCCTTCTCCCCCTCCCTCCACCATTGATTACCCTCCATGTGATCTCCATTTCTGTGATTCTGTTCCTGTTCTGACTGTTTGCTTAGTTTGTTTTTGCTTTTTTAGGTTCAGTTGTTGATAGTTGTGAGTTCGTTGTCATTTTACTGTTCGTATTTTTTATCATCTTCTTTTTCTTAGATGAGTCCCTTTAACATTTCATAGAATAAGGGCTTGGTGATGATAACTCCTTTAACTTGACCTTATCTGGGAAGCACTTTATCTGCCCTTCCATTCTAAATGATAGTAGCTTTGCTGTATAGAGTAATCCTGGATGTAGGTCCTTGCCTTTCATGACTTCAAACACTTATTTCCAGCCCCTTCTTGACTGTAGGATTTCTTTTGAGAAATCAGCTAATAGCCTTATGGGAACTCCTTTCTAGGTAACTGTCTTCTTTTCTCTTGTTGCTTTTAAGATTCTCTTCTTGTCTTTAATCTTGGCTAATGTAATTATGATGTGCCTTGGTGTGTTCCTCCTTGGGTCCAACTTTTTGGGACTCCCTGTTTTCTGGACTTCCTGGAAGTCTATTTCCTTTGCTGGATTGGGGAAGCTCTCCTTCATTATTTTTTCAAACTGAAAGTTGAATTTCTTGCTCTTCCTTTTCTCCTTCTGGCATCCCTATGAGTTAGATGTTGGAATGTTTCAATCTATCCCAGAGGTTTCTAAGCCTCTCTTCATTTTTTTTTTAAATCTTGTTTCTTCATTCTGTTCTGGTTGAATGTTTATTTCTTCCTTCTGGTCCAAATCATTGATTTGAGTCCCTGTTTCCTTGTCATAACTGTTGGTTCCCTATGTATTTTTCTTTATTTCACTTTTCATAGCCTTCACTTTTTCCTCTATTTTGCACCCATATTCAACCATTTCTGTGAGCATCCTGATTTCCACTGTTTTGAACTCTGCATCTGACAGGTTGGCTATCTCTTCTTTGCTTAGTTCTATTTTTGGAGTTTTGAAATGTTCTTTCATTTGGGCCATATTTCTTTGTCTCGGCACAGCTGTTACATTGTAAGGGATGGAGCTTTAGGTATTTGCCAGGGCACAGCAACACTTGTCACTGGGTTGTGGCACTGTATGTGGGGGAAGGGGTCAGAGAGGGAACAGTGCTGCTTGCTCAGCTCTCATCCCACTTTCAGTCACTTCCCCTGCCACCCACAAGCAAATTGAGCCCTTCTGGCGCTGATTCCCAGGTGGATGTTTTTGTGTACATTCTAGGACCCTGTGGGTCTTTCCAATGAACTCTACTGTGAGGTTGGGAGTTTCTCCTGCTGCTGCAATCCTCACAGGTTTTTACAGCTAGAGGTTTTGAGGCTTTTTTTCCCCATGCTGGAACCCTGGGTTGCATGGTCTGTCTCACTCCCTAGGTATTCCTCCAGGTTTATCTGCACGCAAATGTGGGACCACAAGCTGCTGCCTCCACCTCCCAGCCTGGATGAATATTTCTTCTATAACTCTTTGGTTGTTGGTCTTTCATACATTTTGATTTTCTGGCAGTTCTGTTATTATTTTTTAAAGTTTGTTGTCGTCCTTATTTTGGTTGTGTGAGGAGGCAAAGTATATCTACCTATGCCTCCATCTTTGTCGTAAGTTGGGGACGTATTTCTTCCCCTTTAAATAAATTAATAAAGTGAAGATCAACTGCCTCCCTTAGTAGTACATGATATGTGCAAATCAAAGTGAATTCAATACCAAGGTCAAAGCCACTTTTTGCATAAAGCTGTCCCTGATCCAATCCCTCTTCTCCCCTATGCCCTGCCCTCTTCTGAATACGATGCCTCCCTCTGGAACCCTCAGTGACTCACTGATGGTAGTTGTCTGACTCTCTCTTATATCCTAATTTCATGCCTCCCTCCACTACCAAAGCTTGACTTTTTGCAAGATACAGACCATGCCCTACAGGGAGTGCCCATGAATGAAAAAGAAACCCAGTGGCTATGTAGCCATTTTTCCTTTTTCTTTTTAAATTTTATTTTTCAATTGCAATTTACATTCAATATAATTTTGTATTTGTTTCAGGTGTGCCATTTTTCTTCTTTATATTTATACCTCCCCTTTCACATTCCCTGTAAGCTTTCTCTTCTTTTTTCCACAAACCCACAGAGATTCTGTGACTTTCCATGGCCCTTTTGTCCCCTGTCACAGCTACTTTCAACTTGGTTGTTCAAAACCTGTTGCAATATAGCAATTCCTATCCATTGACTTTTATGAGGTACACACTGTCAGCCTTCATAACCCAAGGTCATCCTCTTTCAAAGCATTGTCTGTGGGCTAGCATTTTGGCCCAGAGCTTATGAGCTGCCCTAGGGAAAGGCTCACATACCTCATCCTTCAGTAGAGTCTTACTGTACTCCAGGTGGTGCCGCTCCAAAATAGAAGATCCATGGAGCTTTGCTAATGGAGATGTGGATCTAGAAGGAGAAGGATAGGCCATGATTTTAGCTGTTTAAAGATTATGCAGGTGTCATACAATATAGAATCTTTACTATCTGAGGATTTTTTTTCATTTCTTCTCTCTCCTTGTCCCCTAATATCCATGAAATGGTCAGAAGTTACATATCAAAAAAGATGTTTCAGATTTAGAAGATGAGAATATGTTCTTTAAAGCAGATTCTTTTTAACGCCCCCTAATTTGTTGAATGCATGAAATGGTTGAATTGTTTAAACTTGGAAGTTTGGTTTATCCCCTGCATCAAAAATCTTTGTTCCCCAGAGTTCATGGTGGTAGAATATGACTTACGAAACATGTAACAAACCTGTTGAAGCCGATAGATCATTTATAGAGAAAGTGTTCATAAAGAATAATGTATTCTTATAAATAAAGCATAGGGAATATGGTCAATAATACTGTAATAACTATATATGGTGTTAGATAGGTACTAGACTTATCAAGGTGATCACTTTGTAAGTTATATAAATATCTAATCCATATATTGTCCACCTGAAACTAATATAATATTGCATGTCAACTAGATTTTAAAAAATTTAGAGAGGAAAAAAAGAATTTCCAGGAACCAAAATGAAAGTCACTATAAAGTAGCATTTCTTTCCTCCTCCAAGACAGTGAGATAAATTCAAACTTAAATTTCCTGTTCAAGCCTGACTGGCACAGCTCAGTTGGTTGAGCTTCATCCCGCAAGGCAAAAGGTTGCCTGTTTGATTCTGGTCAAGGCACATGCCTGGGTTGCAGGCCCAGTCCCCAGTTGGGCCGCCTGTGAGACTCAACCAATCACTTTCCCTCTCGTTCTCCCTCCCTTCCTCTCTCTAAAAATAAATAAAAATAAAATAAATGTTCTGTTTGTTACTTTTGGGCCACAACTTTATGTAAGTGGGGACCTCAGTCTTTGGTACCCTGTCTTTCTTTAGCTCTTACTGTTTGAGGAAAAGGAGTGACATCAAAAAAATAAAAAGGTGAAGAAAAGAAAAGATGAAGAGAGGCTAAGGCTAAAGGTTTACCTTAGTAATGTGGAGCTGTTGTCTTAGAAAAGTGGAATAAATATTTTTAAGAATGGAAGTCGTCATAGAGAAGTTTCATTTTATGTCAGAAAGAACAGAACTTTACAGAGGGGAGGAGTCATTAACAGGTTGGGTAAACAAAGTATTCTACTTAGGGATCAGGATTCTGACTCATAGTCAAATGCCTATTCTGTGTTAGCACTGGAGATTTTTTGAAAAAATGAATAAAGCAGAATTTCAGTTGAAAAGTGTATCTTTAATTCCTTTGGGTCTAAAAACATCAGTCAAAAAAGGTAACAAGGGAGCTTGATATCCACCCAGTCTCAGAGTAACACCTCAAAGGTTATTTATTCATACAAAGGAGAAAATGTACTTTTGCATAAAGAGATCAACTAGACACTCATAAATAGTTTAACTTAACCTCATACATGATGGGACAAATTAACATCATAGGTCTCCTGATGCAAGGCACTAAGAAGTACATAACACCTAAACAGAATTCCTACTCAAAACTTTTCCCCTGGATCCAGTAACCTGGAAACAATCAGACAGAGCCCAATTGAGGCATATTCTGCAAAACAACTGGCCTAGACTCTTCAAAAGCATCAACATCCCAAAAGATACAACAAGGTTAAGAAATGATTCCAGATTAAAGGAGACTGAAGGTATCGAGATCTAAACCTGGTCACAAGGCGATTTTCATGTATTTTCCCCTTAGACACCTTCAAACGTCACAAGTACATGTTGACACTGCACATGTGGTCACTTACTTCATCTGATACAGGTTATTGGTGCCTCTGTGGTCGATGTCATGGCAGAAGGCAGCAGCGAGCATGGCAAAGGCTTCAAGTCTGTGTAGTATTTCCTCAGCCTTCCTGTCTAAAATATATACAATATGTATTTAATATAATAATAATATAAAATATATATATTTAATTGGATTAACACACCTCTAACACATGTGCTGTGAGGCCTGCCTGCAATGAGGGAGGGGACCTGCTATACTTTTAGAGCAAGTTGCTTTTATTTCATGTTGAATATTATAGATCATTCTGGGCCATTACAAACCCCAGCAGGATGAGGAGGGGTTGAGGGGGTGGCTGAGAAAAATAAAGGGATTAAGATGTACAAATTGCCAGGTATAAAAACAGTCATGGGGATGTGAATTATAGCATAGGGAATATAGTCAATAATATTGTAATAACTATATAGGGTATCAGGTGGGTACTAAATTTATCGGGGTGATTAGTTGGTGATATAAATGTCTGATCACTATGCTGTACACCTGAAACTAACATAATATTGTATGTCAACTCTAATTGAAAATATTTTTTTTAAAAAAACAAGCCAGCAGGTAACTGAAATTTCCTTTAAGGAGGTAAGTGATTGTCCTCACTTATTAAGTTCAAGATTTCCTTTAAAAGTGATAATCCGGCCAAGGGCCCAGGGACCCCCACATAGTCTGGTATCATCTACAAGGGAGTTTGGGGCTTATGGGACTGTGTCCATACATTCCAGAATGACTGATCTAAGCTGATGGGCCGTCCGCAGTTCTCTCTGTGCAGGTTTATAATGACTGACAGTGCTCTGTGTCTACCATCAGCAAAGTGAACATGGTCTGCCCCACATTGAACCCGTGCCGCCAGTTGTGGTAAGTGACGGAACGGTACCCTTTTCTCACGGTGTACATCCATCTGGTAAGAACCTGTCACCATAAGAAGGTAACACCATTCAGACTTTGGAACAGAATGCTAAAGTTTAGAAGGCCCGTGACAATCTTATCGGTTGGTCTTGTTTACAGAGGTTAAGCTTCTATATTTACAAAGTTAATAATAATTTAAAATCCAAACTGAAGCTAATCTTTTAAACCACAGGAAACATCAGTGAAGAACAGCTGCAGAATCACCCGGTATTTTACATTATAGTCCATCTCACCTCTACGGGGACTTTGAATTTCTCCACCACATTTATTTCAAAAAACAGTCATAGTCCACACTTAATCAGTTCATGCTCTGTAATGGGGAAGTCACTGAAGCAGAATTCATACAGGTCTAATGCCTTGGGGTCCGGCAAGTCCTTTCTGTTCAAATAAAGACAAACTGTGTCAGGCTGCATTCCTCTATTTTCCCTGTAGCCTCACACATCCACCATTGGGTGTGAAAAAAAAATTACAATAAAAAGACCATTGCAATTCACTGAGCCTTTATATACCCAGCCCTGGGTTCTGCAGTTTGCATGAATTATTCTCACAACAAACCTGCACAGTTACCCCAGTTTACAGATGGCAAAACTGAGACTCAGTTGTATCAAGAAAATTTCTAAGTAGTGGGATTCAATTCCAATTTTATTCTAGTAGCTCTTTTCTTTCTACGGTGTAAAAGAAAATGTTTGGTTGCAGCAGCTTTATCCATTTTTAGTACTCAACTTCTCTTTTTTTTCTTTTCAGGAAATAGTAAACAATAAATGATCATTTAATTCAATTCTATCATATTTTCTTTACATGCTCAGCAATGCTTTCCCATGAGACCATGGGGCCATGTCTCTCTGCTGCGGTGTCCCAGAACCTGCAGCGCCTGTCCTGGAGTGAGGTATTCAGTACAGTCTTAGTGTAGAAAGCAGAACATGTACACCACAGGTTGTGAAGAGGCAGAGGGAACAGGATGAGGCAGTTAATGAAGGAAATAAATGTGAGACTATTTCAGTTTCAGTCTAATTGTTTTCATGTTTTTAACATTCAAGGCATAGGGGCCTTGGCTTTCAGCTGGTATCCTAGGAGAGCTCTACCTGCACAGTAAGGTCCAAACTGAAATGAACGATCCCGGACAAAATCTAAAACCATCTTTATTCACTTGTCGGAAGAAAATCTAACCCTCTTTGCAGAATGATAATACTACCCAGAGCCCCTACACGTTTTTATGCACAATATCCTGTTTAAAAAAATTATGAAGCATGTTTTAAAATGATCAAATGACTGAAACCCAACCACAAAACTAGATAGTAGAACCAAACCTAAAGGTGATTCAGGCATTGAGGTGGAAAATTGAAAATAAATGTGATCAATAAATTCAAGGATATAGAGGGGAAAATAGGCAAAATAGATAAAATAACAAAAAGTTTTATTTTTTTAATATTTAATTATTTATTTTTAGAGAGGGGGAAGGAGGAGGGGAGAAAGAGGGAGAAAAACATTAATCAGTTGCCTCTGGCACGTGCCCCAACTGGGGACCAGCCCACAACCCAGGCAGGTGCCCTGACTAGGAATCCAACCGGTGACCTTTTGATTTGCAGGACGACACTCAACCAACTGAGCCACGCTAGTCAGGGCAAAATGATGAAAACTTTTTAACACAAAGTTGGAATCTTTTTTAAAAATTAAATATACATTCTAGAACTGAAAACAATTGTCTCTGGAGTGAAAAAATGATTGGGTGAGTCTAACCATAAACTGTGGAAATGAGTGCGGGTGGGTTTAACAGTAGACATAACAAAATACAGAATGAATGAACTACAAAAGGAGTTAATTTCAACCAGAAATAATAGAGATGGCCCAATGACAATCAAAAAGGAACTGAATTCCTCCAGGCGCCAGAAGGGAAGCCAGTGATGGCCATGGTAATTGTGCCTAGAAGGGTCCTGTGTTCTGGATTCCTGTCGTGTCTTCTGGGGCGGTCCTGGTGTAATCCTGTTATTCAAATGAACCAGGCCATGACACCTCTAGAATCTGTGCCTAATGCCATAGTCCATTTTCGTTGTGATTCTAAATTATCCGTGTCAATCGGACTGTAGGGGACCAAGAGGAAGATAAGCAAGGAGCCAGAAGTTGATTTTTTGAAGAAACATGCTTTCCTTTTAGCTTTGAAAGTTGCCAAGGAAGAAGAAACTCAGTATTTATTTGAAAAGTGGGAAAGTGTGTCCTATTTAAAAAGTGTTAAGAGTAGAAGTAAACAGGTACCAAAATTGTGATAAGTTGTTTTTCTTCACAGTCTTCAATTACATCTATATTTAACTTCTCTTGAAATTTCTAAAATGTAAAAGCAATTGAGGTGTGAAATTCCTATAAAGGAAAAAAATTGTTTCTGATTCCTCTGCTCTTAAAATCAGTTAAAATTTGTTTGAAATATGCTGTGATAAGTTTCATGACAAAGATGTATTCTGGGTACAAAGAAGATCTAATACACCTAATTATAAAGAGTTTTCTCTGAGAAATAATCTATCTAATTTATTTCTCTATTCCCCCAAAAGGTAACTCTAAGAGAGAGAGAGAGAGAGACAGAGAGAGAGAGAGAGAGAGAGAGAGAGAGGGAGGGAAGTGGTTTGTATGTTGTTTTTGTTAGTTTATATTAATTTCTCTTTATTCTCCCCAGAACTTCTTATCTTTAATATCTCAAATTCTTAAGTCAAATTCTCTTAACTCTCAATTCACCCAACAAAACCAAAACCAATGCCCCCCCAAAACACCCACCCAGTAAAACTATACCTATGCACACACTCTAAAAGCTGGGCAATTAGAACACTGTTAGCAAATATCTCCTTGCTCTCCCACCATCCATGATGTTGGTCTTGGTCATGTTTGGCCACTAAGTAAAGACTTGAAATGTGCTTGCACAGTGGGCTTGCTCTGCTGCACTCTGTTTTGCTCATGAGAAGAACACCTATCAGGGAGCAGCGATCAAGAAAAAAGAAAGAGACACAGAGCAAACCAAACTCACAGCTGGGAACCAAGCCCAACCAAGATCAATCAAAGGATGGTCAACCCCCAAATGCATGAATCACAAGTAGACACTCATTGTTGGAAACTGCTGAGATGTTATGGTTGTTATGCAGCATTACATGGCAATAGCTGACTGATATAGTTCCTTTCCTGGAAATATGTTTTTTTTTTCTTGCTAACACACTTGAATCTAGATATTACTACCCAAGCACCTACAGACCCAGAAGCTATGTTTAACAAAGTGCTATTCCACTAAGCAGCCTGGAAGTCAAGTCAGGGCCTATGTACACTGGGTCCCCCAGATCTTCCCCTAAACCCTCCTTCTTTGCCTCCCCTCCTTAGCTCAGGACTAGACCTATTCTCATTAGTCAGCCCTCTGGGTAATTTGGTGAATTCCAGAAGCCCTGGTTAAATGCCACCTAATGTCCACAGGACTGAATTCCCCACTTGCCAGAATAGACTTGATTTCATGAGGAGTGGCTTTTGTCTGGTGCACGAGCATTTCCTGAGCAATGTCCTTTCTGTTTTCTAGCTTATTCATTTTCTCATAGGTATCAATATTTAAAAGAGACCAGCCAAGAAATTGTGTGAGAGTCTGAAATGTATGAAATGTGATTCAGTTCTCTAAAATTAAAGGAAAATTGACTTGAATGCAGCAATAATAATAATAACAATTGTCCCAGACAATAAAATGGACTAAGCCCTTGATTTCCAAAGTGCACCATGCACCCTGTGTAGTTTATTAGAGGAGAAAAATTATAAAAATCTAGTAGAAGAAGCACGACCTGAAAACCAGAGAGAAAGCTGGGGGTGAGAGCAAGGATGAGAGGGAATAGAAGGGGGAGAAAGGAAATAGAAACCGTCTTTCTCAGTTCCCTAGTACCGTAGAGAATTTTGATTAAGCCCAAAGTTCATACTTGAGTAAAAAGTGTTGCAGTTCACAGAAGTCAGGGAAGAAGGAAATGACACAGTAACACATTGGCTGTAACCAAACCAATGACTCATATCTTAATTGCCCTTCAAAAATATCATTCCAGAATAACAAATAATTATGTGTCCTCTGTTATTTCATGAATTTCATTTCCCTCCATTGTTTGATCATTGCACTTACCTCAGTGATGTGTTCATCATACTCATCAAAAGGTTTCCCATCCTTCCTGTTGTAAAATGTAGCTACTCCCACAATGTCGTCTTTCTTGTTGACAATAGGCAGGGACAAGACATTTTTAATGACCCAGCCAGTTTCATCTACAGGTCCTTTCTACAAACAAGCAAGGCATGTGGGTTATTTTTTAATTTTGAAAAAATTATAGACTCACAGGATCTTGCAAAAGAAATGTACAGAACAGTCCCAGATACCCTTCACCCAGTTTTCTCAATGGCACATCTTGTGTCACTCACACAGTATCAAAACCAGGAACTAGACCTTGGTGCAGTCCATGAAGCTTATTCAGATTTCACCAGATTTGTATGTGCATGTGTATGTGCATGTGGTTCTCTGCAAATCCATTGCATGTTTAGATAATGTGCAACCTCCACCAGAATTGAGACACAGTACTAACCCAGTACCACAAGACTCCCTTGCTTCAACCCTTTATAGCCAATACCCCACCGCTCCCCATTTGAGGTATTTTTAATTTAAAGGAAGAATAATCTTTGGGTGTTGGATACACAATTCCTACCTTGTATCAGAACACGTCTAGGATTGCGCAGCCATAAAAGTATGCTAGTACATTTGATTAAGTGAACCAGAACCAAGTGCCTATTGGTAATGGCTCTGCCCTCTTCTCTTTGTCTCCCCAGCCTGAAGATGAAGAGAAGCAGTTACCTATCTGTTATGTCAGTGTTTCCTGTTCACTTTTTGTGTCCTCCAACACCTGTTTAACTAATCCCTTATATTAGATTCTTTCTGTTGAAACACCTAGTGTGGTCTGTCTTCCTGACTGATCCATCAAGGTGGTCTTTTGTTCTGTGATGTAATCTACCTAATAAACATCTGTCAAGCCCCTATGATGTGTCAGGACCTGGGCTAGTTGCTGGGCACAGAAATGGATAAATCCCTGGCCCTAACCTCAAGATGACAACAGTCTAGTGGGGGATGCAGACACAGATACTTAGGAGTGTTTCTCAAAGTGCGACCCAAGGACCACAGGCAAGATTTTCTTTTAGCTTGTTTCATAATCTCTGGGCATGCATCTTGAATAAGCTGCGGGGTGATTCTGATGCCCTCTGAAGTCTGAGTACCATGGGGTACTCAGTGCCATGGGGTACACAGTGCGTAGCTAAGCAAAAGTAGCCAGGCACTCAACACACCACGTTATTCATTCTTCAGCCTCCCATTGATTTATTTGGTCATCCTCCAAGGTCCAGGGTAAGCCCCGCCTCTGACATGAAGCCTTCTCTAACTTTTTTCATCCACATGGAACTTACCTCTTTCAGAATCCTAACAGCATTTATAGCCTGGACCATACAATTTAGCATTTAGATATTTTCCAAATGCTTCAGAATTGTTTTTTGTCTCTTACGAAGACTATGGGGATGGAGGGGATGGGGGCAGTGCTGCTCCCCTCCGCCCCAGCACTGAGAGGGAGGCCTGGCAGAGGGCAAGGTTACCTGAAATGTGAAGTATTCATTTACAGGGGCATTCAGCATGTTACATATCTGTAAAGCAAGGGGAAATGAAGGACCTGAAATGTCATGTGGTGAACCCATTAAGCCCACAACACAGAAAGAACAAGAAAAAACGCATGAGGTGTGAATATTTCTTCCATAGGTCTTAATGGTTCACAAGCAAATTACCGTATTTTGCTCTGTATAATGCACACATTTTTGCCCAAATTTGTGAGGGAAAAATAAGAATGCACATTATACATGGGTATAATAATTATATACCATGGGTGTAATAATCCCATGTATAATGCGCACAAAAAACATGGGTGTGCATTATACAAGTCAAAATACAGTATTCATATTGGACCTAGGGTAGGCCAAACTTGCTAACAATGCATTGAATTCAGTTTGTCTTCTGCTAATTAATTAAGTCATTGGATGACATTTAGCACCCTCTCTGCTCCTTCCTACTTTCCCAGCTTCTAAGGATTCTTCTTCCAAATTCAAAGAAACGAGATGAATGAACACTGCCAAAAATACAAGGGCAGCACTAAAGGAAAAAAATATGCAAATAAATGCTATGAATATATTTCAGAAACTTGGATCTGAAGGAGGAAGAAATAAAAATGCCAACATAAAGAAATGTTGAAAGCATCAAACACTTTTGCAGGGAGGAATTTTGATGCCAAAAAAATGACACAGATCGAGAAGCCCAATTCGGGGGGAAAGTCAGCCATGAGAAGGGAAGAAAGTGGGAAAGCTATCGTGACCCTGTCCTCTGGCCTTGAGACCTGTGGGATCTACCAGATATCTCGTTTGTTGTCTTCCTACACCTGACCTTTCAGCCAGACCTGCCCTACTGTCCACCTGACCCCACCTGACAGACCAGGGCAAAAATTGTCACTTCCTTTATCAACTCACTACATTCTGCATTGCAATCAGTGGCAAAGTTCTCTCTTTATGTATTTTTCTCTTTTCCAGAACTCTTCCATGCTTCAAAGGTCTTGACCAAGGGCACTGTATTTGAGATCAAATTAAATCCAGCATGAACCATGCTCAGGGAGTCCCAAAGGACTCTGACACCTGTGGGGCTGCAGAATTCAAAGCTGGGGGCCACTAGGTGTGTTACATAGGTGGTGCTGTTGTTTATTGCATTACATGGTGTTCACTTCATGGAGACAATAAGGAAAACACATCCTTCTAGTCTTTGTATCACAATATATTGTGTTTTATTCTAAATAATTTGATTCTGTCTTAGGAACACTCTGAGCTGATCAGTTTTCCCTTTTCTTACTGGATGCTGGAAAACTAAGAGCACAGGTGCAGCCTAATTTTATTAGTGTGGAGGGCATTGGGTAACAGGTTGTTATTCTCTTCAGTCCTGGCTCTAATTTACATCCCTACCCTTGTTTTTTATTTCCTTTCTCTTTTATACCTATTTCTATTCTGTGTTCTATGGCTTTACTTGGTTGTTGAAACTTAGATCCTTTTTGTTTACATCTCTTAGCTAATGAGTTTCATCCAATATTATTCAAGATTTGTTCAATAACTTACGAATCCATTTTCAGCAACATATGTTGGCAACCCGCTAACAAGAGTCCAGTGGTCTGCGGGAGGTGTCCTTGAGGAAGATTAGAAGAAAGGAAGTCATTCCTGTATGGAGAAATGCACTGTGTGCAACAATAAGATGGCAACTCCTGAGCTGCTTTATGACAATACTCACGGAATCACTTTGATCTCTTCTTTCCCATGTAAAATGTAATCAATAATTTTATAAAAGATGATTTCCTAAGAGGAAAGAGATTATGGGAAAAATCTTATTTCCCCCAAAACACTTTTCAGTGATGAACTTACACTAGTAGAAACTGATTTCCTAAACATTTCTTTGCAGAACATAAATTGCAGACTGCTCATGTTCTGATTATGTAAGCCTGTAATAAAACTAGAAATATTCCCGGTCATTTATCTACATGAACAAGCCTGTTGAATTAAATTTAAAAAGTTGAATTCACCCAAACAACTTTTAGAGGGAACTTGCTTTTCCGTTAACTAATTCCTCTACTTCCAGAGGTATGACCTCTGGAAACCTCAGGGAACAAATCATGTAGTTTCTCAACCTTGGTCAATGTTTTGCCTTCCCACCTGGACAGTGGGCACCTACCCCCTTCCAGCACTGGCTCATCTGAACGGAGGTCCGAGAAACAGGATTTGGTGGATATGTTGAGAGCTAACCTCTCTCTTCTTTGGACAGTTGAAGAGCCTGCGACCTGGACACATTCTAGCCTGTTTCCTTCCCTTTCATGCGTGCTGGGCATACAGTGGTGAGCACAGTCCTGCCCTGTGAAGCTTGCAGTCAAGGGGAAAGTCAACCTAACCCAACCCTCCCCTAGAAGCTCCAGTCCAGGGTGTCAGAAGGAGACCTATGCATACAACACTTCAAAAGCTGTGCAAGTGGCTCTGATGTGTCCCTCCCTGTTGACAACAACTGGTCCCAAGCCATGGCTTGACAGAAAAAGAAACTGAGAAGTTAAACAACAAATTGAGGCATGGGCGATGTAGCTGGCTTGAGGCAGAGCTGGGACTAGAACTTCAAACTCCCTGAGCAGTACTCTTTCTACTACTCCAAGGTCCCACAGGAAGTTACAGACTAGAACCCAGGTATTCTCAGGCTCAGGCTCTCTCCTCTGCGCATGGCTGCCTCTGCTTTAGCACCTGGCACCAGGCACCGATATCACCGAGGAAGAGGTTTGCACTCACTCTGCCGTCCGGTGTCTTTGGACCTTTGTAAGGCTCGACTTCTCCTAGCTTGATTGGCCATTCATCATAGAATTCCTGGAGGCAATTATATTTAAACATTATTTTTAAAAAACTGTTCTATGACTGACCATGTTTTATATGAATTTCATTGTTTGCATATTTTATGTTAATTTATGATTCTGGAATTTTAGAGCTGAAAACGATCTGTAATTCCCAGAAGTACTGCTTATAGGAAGTCACGACTGTGAACAAGTCACTTAACCTTTCTCAACAGTAAAATGGGGATAATAATAGAATTTATGCCATAGATCATTGTGAAGACTAAATGAATAACACACACAAAGCACCCACTCTGATGCACAGTTACAAGTACTCAATAGAGAGCACCTCTTTTACTGGTAATTAAATTAAGTCTGGATAGGTTAAGAGGCTCGGCCAAGGTCACAAAAATAGCCAGTGGTGTTGGTTGCCTTCCTTAACGTTCCGTTCTCCCCTCTCCCTTGCTAACGGAACCTGATTTTATTTGGGTATCAAGTAGTAACCTGCTCAGGGGTCCTGGGCCCTGCACAGCCCACACGTGGTCTGTGTGAGGTGCCTTGGGCGGCTGTGAGGGCAGGGCAGGGCAGGCATGTGGCCCAGTCGTGGGGAATGAAGACAGAGCGGTCTGCTGGGGGCTCCTGGGGAAAGGTGCCCTCAGATGGAAGGTGATGAAAGTGACATTTGCAGGATGTTGTAAAGCAGTATTGTCCACGAGTTGTATTCAGAATATACAAAGAGCTCTTAAAATTGAACAATAAGAAGAATAACAACCTAGCTAAAAAGTGGGCAAAAAATCTGAATAGATGTCTCACCAGGGAAAGCATACAGTTGGTAAGTGAGCATACGAAAAGAAGCTTCACATCACTTGTCATCAGGGAAATGTAAATTAAAACAATGAGATACCACTACACAGCTATTGGAATGGCTAAAATCCAAAATACTGACATGCAAAATGGCACAGCCATCTTAGAAGACAGTCTGGGAGTTTCTTAAAAGCTAAATATGGTCTTAGCATATGATCCAGCAGTAGCCCTCCCTGGTACTTATCCACAGGCATTGACAAGTCATGACCACATAAAAACTACACCTTATTTATAATAGTCAGCATTTGGAAGCAACCAACATGTCCTTCAGTAGATGAATGAATAAACTGTGGTGTATCCAGACAATGGAATACTCCTCAGCATTAAGAAAAAGTGAGCTATCAAGCTATGAAAAGATGTGGGGGAAACTTAAATGCATATTGCTAAGTTAAGTAACCCAATCTGGAAAAGCTTTATGATTCTAAACATGGCATTATAGAAAAAGTAACTATAAAGGCAGTGAAAAAAAAAACAGTGGTTGCCAGAGACTTAGCATAGGGAGAGAGAGGGAGCATGAAATGGAGCACAGGATTTTTGGTAAACTATTCTGGATGACACTGTAGGGGCAGACATATGACACTGTGCATCTGTCGAATCCCAAAGACTGTACAACACGAAGAGTGAACTTGAATCCGAAGTGTGGACTTCAGTTAATAATACTGTACCAATACTGATTCATCGATTGTTACAAATGCACCACATTGATGCCAGATGTCATGCTAGGAGAAATCGCTAATAGGGGAAACTGAGGGGTGTGGGGAAGGGAAGAGAATATGTACGGGAACTTGCTGAGCTTTTGTAAACCTAAAATTTCTCTTAAAAATAAAGTCTATTAATTAATATTTAAAAAGAACTCATTGAAGACACATAACTAGAAAATAAAAAAGTCAAGATTCTAGCCTAGATCTTCTTTTACTCCAAAATGCACACTTTTTACCTCCGTACCATATTTTCTTGGCATTGGTTCTTGTAATCTATCACAACTGATTATTTACATAGTGTATCCATTTCTTAATCAATCACGTTTCATGTGAGATGTGTTTTACAGGAGATTTTAAGCAAGAAAAACCGACTAGAACAGCGAGGACCTTCTCCTTGGTCACGTCCAGCAGCCCGATGGAGTAGCGCTCACAGTGCAGATACGTTCGAACTGGGTAGAGCACCTTGTGAAACTGTCTCTCAACATCTGTGAGCTCTTCAAACACTTTATTGCCTGACCACATAAGGATCTGAAAGCAGATTTTCAAAAGAAAACTGTTAGAACAAAATACACTATGGAAAGATAGAGCTTTCACCAGGGGCTGCAAGAAATAAAATGAAGCCGTGTCACTAGGCAAAGCAATTCCATTTCTGAATGTGTCCACATCCAACAAACTGCTGATTCCCTGTGTGGAATGATGAGGAGACCTTTGCAAGGCTGTGGGCTTCTGAAAGAGGATAAGCTATGATTGGTCCTTTGTCCAAATGTCTTGGCTTCAAAGGGCAAGTGATCTAAAATTGGCCGCAGAGACAGTCCCTGGGCACCCTAGCTCCTGCTGTCACTGGAAGAAAGCTGCGTGCCTCCTTCCATGCACCCCGAGCTAGTCAGAGGTAGCCCTACCTGGACAGTCAGAACGGGAAGGGGCCTCAAAAGCCTCTCATCCCAACCCCCCTCCCACCATTGTACTAATGAGGAAACTGAGGCCCAGGGAGTGGTCCAGACTCAGGTATCCTGGCTACCAATGTTGTTCTTTATACCTCTGGATCGGGGAGGAAACAGACTTCAGAAGAATGATTTACTCCTCAGATTAATACCTTTATGTACCAGGAACTGCTAAGAGCTTTATGCAAACTAATTTATCTAATGACTACTTAATCATCACAAAAACCTTGTGGGGTGGGTGCTGTAATTATCATTGTCGTCTTACAGATGAAGAAACCATGACTGCTGGGATGGAGACGGAAGAAAGGCACGCCAGATGCACATGCACTGGGAAGGCAGGCGGGTGGGGATGGAAAGCCGGGAGGACCGTGAAAAGACACCTGGGACTGAAGTCTGGGGATCTGCTCCATGTGTCTGAAACCCCCAAGAGGGAAAGGAGAGGTCTGGTCTTGCTGCCTCTGGGTCCCTTTGTCAAAACAGAGGAGTGCTTCCCTTTACCTGGCTTCTTCGGGATTCAACACTGTACAGGTAGTTGGTGTGATGAAGCTTTAGGATGATAGAAACAAAGGCGAGGTACTGGGAAAACACCTACAGATGACAGAGAAAAACAAATAGATGTGACATCTTTATTTATTTATTTTTTGGATATCTTATATAACAAATAAGTTTCCTGAGCCTCTGACTGGATGCCCAGGGTTAGCATTACCTCTTCGTCCTGTTTGGAAAATTCAGACGCATTTACTTTGTAAACTGCCATAACCACAGCCAGAACGTCCTTGCCCATCATGATCGGGGTTGCCAGTAGGTTCCTAGTGACGTACCCGGTGTGTTTGTCCATGAAGTCAGAAAAATGGCTGTTCTGAAAAATACATTCACATGTTGGCCAAAGCAGCACAGAACCATGGTGTGCACATCTAGAAATGGCAGCAGGTCCTTCTGTCTAGTCCAAATTCTACTGACAGACAACCGGGGCCCCGTGCAGTGGTCCTGAGAAAACATACCCCCGGTCCCACCGCCGGCCCATCCCATGATTGCATAAAATGAGACTGCCTATTTCAGAGTGAGCATTTCCCAGCTGAGCTGTGGCCTACCTAGGTTAGGCTGAGGTTGGACCAGGAGGAAAGAGGTGATGTCGCAGCCAAGTGGAAAGAAGGTGCTAAGAGGAAGGCAAGAAAAAACTGAGGGCTACAATGAATAGAAAGTGTGTGCTGGGCAGGAGAGCACCGCTGGGGTTACAGGCATATTTCAAAGAGTTCTCCTTTTTTAAAAAAATGTTCATCTGACAGCCCTGGCTGGTGTAGCTCAGTGGATTGAGTGCAGGCTGCAAACCAAAGCATCACAGGTTCAATTCCCAGTCAGGCACATGCCTGGGTTGCAGGCCACGGCCCCCAGCAACCGCACATTGATGTATCTCTCTCTCTCTTTCTCCCTTCCTTCCCTCTCTAAAAATAAATAAAATCTTTAAAAAACTATTAAAAATTTTTCATCTGACAATACATTTATTGATTTTAGAGAGAAAATAAGTTGGAAGAGAGAGAGGGGGAAGAGGGGGGAGAGAAAGAATGAGAGACACAGAGAAAGAAACATCGATTGATTGCTTCTTACACGCACCCTAATAGGGTATCAAACCTGCAACCAGGCACGTGCTCTGTCAGGGGATGAAACCCGTAAACTTTTGGTGTACAGGACAGTGCTCCAACCAACTGAAGAGCCACCCAGACAAGGCAAAAAGCTCTTATTTTTAATCACAAATGTAAAATCTGCAGTTGACACTAGAGAACCAATATATCATAACATAAAGAAACAATGGGTAATCCTCCAAACGTCCAATCTTGTCCGAGGAAATCAGTGTTAACTACTTGGTATGTCTACTTCTATGCCTTGCTCTGTGCTTGGACAAAGGCTTTTCTTTTCTGTTTTTTTTTTTTTATAAAATTTTCTTTTCTGATTGTATACAATACTTTCAACACGTAACAATATGTTATGGACATCCCTCCAGACCAATGTGTGTGGATGTGAATTTACCTCCCAGAGTCTCGCACGTGACTCCACAGTGTGGGAGCTCCCTGGCCCACTCACCGTCCTCTGCCGGTCAGTCTGTGTGTCGTATTCTCCACTGCAAACAATGCAGCACTGATCATTCTTGCTCTTGTGCTTATGTGATGGGTTTCCCAAAGTGGAAATTCCTTTTGCTGGGTCCCCAGGTATGTGCAGTTTTTATTTACACAGATTACTTTTACAAAAGGTTGGAATTCTTACTTCCACTGGTCACAGTGAGAGGACAACCCTCTTACCAGCACCAGATTCTAACCAGTCATTATTGTTCTACCAAGCTAGTGTCTTTCATTCATACAGTATTTTCTCTCCTTAGGAGAGAGGAAGTGGATCTTTCCAGATACAAACTTCATGTGGCAGATGCCAAAGCTGATTCGCATACACTAACCATAGGAAGAGCAGAGGGATGAGTTTGGAGGAGTACACAAACAAAAGGGCTTCAGAAGAAGGTCAAGGACGGCTGTTACCTTATTAGCTGTAATTTGGAGGAATGCTTCCTCATGGGTATAGGCCCAGCCTTCCGGGGTCCTTACTAGCTCCTCTTTGAACCTGAGGCTTCTTCAGTTAGAGCTGAACTTTCAGCCTAATTCTGAGACTGATTGGCCAAAATTAATGTGGTATTGCTTTCCCAAGTTGTATTATTTTCATTTCCTCATGTTGGTGGTGCTTCTAAGAGCCGCACAGACCTTGGAGGCTGGACTCTATTCAGTTTCCCAAAGTAAAAAGGTGAGAGTCCAGTGGTGTATAACTTAGGGGCCAGAATTTCCACCAGGGAACACAGGGTGCCCAGTTAATAGAACCCACAGCTCAGCGCAGACCAGTTGTCCCCAGCTGTGCCTCCGAATCTCCTGCAGATAAACACAGATCTGCAGAGCTCACAGCAGAGCCATAATCCTAATCTCCTGAAGTGGAGTCTGTCTTCCTGAGGAATCTGCACTTTCAGTAGGTGAATCACTCCTGTGGAGAATCCCTAGAAATGGGACCCTTCACAAAGAAAATGTGAGATGCTAAGGGAGGCGAAGGGAGGCCTTTGCCCCCCACCCTGCCCCCGTCTTTTCCTTTCCTTCCCTAACACGGAACTGCACAAACCACTATAGATTTAGGAGGCAACACCGCATAATGGTAAAGAAGGGTTTGCAAATGGTAATAATGACCTGATCTACCATCTAGAATCCCCTCTGTGAAGACAGAATAACGTGGTATCAGTTGAGCACTTAGAAAAGTGTCTTGACAAAAAGTGGGTGTTCAAAGAATACGAGGAAGAGAGAAACCTGAAACTTTTAGGGGGTCTCCCTTGATCAAAAATAGTTCTCTTTTACAATTACTATTTTGCATCTAGTTCTAGTTTTTCTAACCACTTCTAATCGCTGAGACATTAGATGCTCTTAGCTGATATCAGCTTCCTTGCCCGGGACCACGCTTCCTTCTGGGGGCCAACACTCTGCCCCATGCCCCCAAGAGTCACATTTCTTTCCTGACCACTTTATCTGTTACTTCTCTCTGCTTCCTGTAGCACCTGTGCTCTCAGGCCAGGACATCCTCAGAATCAGGTTCTTTCTCTCAATCCACTGCTTGCCCAGGCCCGCTCACATCCTGTTTTCCTCCTCACCTGTCACCCACTACAGATCACGATCACCCCCACTTACGCAGCCATCCCGGGCACGGAAGGGATAAGCAAAATGCCAGGAGCACGCACCACGGGATGAAGTCAGCATCTTCTGGCTAACGCTTCACTCTGCTGCTTCAACACTGGATTCTAGACTCTGCACGTGAGAAAATGTTCTCAAATTCATTTGGCTGGTTTGAGAAAATGGTTGATGAGTTTGAAAACAGAATGCTTGCTTATTATCATATCTGAAAGCCCTGGATGAAATCATCCATCAAAGCCTGTGGGGGGGAGGGGTGCGAAATGAGGCTTTCTCCTTTATTTTCCCTAGCTGAAACAATCCTTACTGAAGTTTGTTTGAGTAAACTCTGTTTTTTTTCAAACGTACAAACTCCCTTTGATGTTCCTTCTTCAAAGGCGCCGCTAAGAGCAACCAGAGAGAACACTGTTTAGAAAAGCAGGCGGCCTGGGACCCTCACCCGCTCACAGCATTGTTAAATTCCGATTAAATCCCGTCATCCTTTGTGATCAGGAGTCAGAAAGAGAGGAGAGCAGGATGAGAGAGGAGGGAGGAAAGGGAGCTAGAAGTGTCTTGTTAATCATTGAAAACTTAGGACTTCTCCATGGCTTTTTTTTTTAAAATCATAGTCAGAACGAGAACCGCCCATCCATAGTTAATCAACAGCTTCCCCAGTAGAAAAAGAAATGATTAACTTGAAAAGACTATCTCTCAGTTTCTTGTTATTCAAAGTTTTCCTGCCTTTAACTTGTTTTAAAAACAGGCAATAACCATTGACCCAGTTTTGTCCACCCACACCAGCCCCCCAAACCCTTTTGGCATAAAGATGATGTTATCATCTTTATGAATCAGGTAGTTCATGTCCATCTCATCTGTACATTTGTGTACCTGTATTCCTCAGGTGCAGAAACTCAATCCATCACACAGTCCCCTTGTCTCAGACCTGGATGTCCACCCAGTGCGTCTGATGCCAAAGCTGTCACCCTGCACCACGTGGCTTCCTTGTTACAACTTTTGTGGACCCTCAAGGTCCGGAGTATCCAGTTCTGCTTTGGTCTGGGTGTGAGAAGTCCTTCCCTCACCTGTGCCCACACTGCCACCCAGAGAGAAGTCGTGCATGGTCAGCGGTGCGGTGGAAGAGGAAGGCCTCCTAAGGCCTGGGCTGTGGTCTCAGACCTGTCACGTCCTGGCTAATTGACCGTGAGACGATTCTAACATAGACAAGGTGGAGAAGTATATATGTCTTCTGCACAGAGTCTTTGCCAGCATCAAGTGAGATTAAGAATGAAAAAAATCTTTAAAAATTGCCAAGTGCAATGAAAAGGTGAAGAATTAATAGAAACTTCATTTAAAACATAGGTTTTCATCAGCTTTCTCTTTGCAGATTTTGCCACAGTGACTGAATGTGAACCTGCAGAAAACAGACTGATGGTTGCCAGAGGGGATGAGGGTGGGGGACTGGGTGACAGAAAAATAAAGGGATTAAGAAGTATAGATTGGCAGTTACAAAACAGTCACAGGAAGTAAAGTACGGCACAGGGAAAGGAGTCAATAACACCGTAATAACTGTGCATGGTGTCAGGGGGTACTGGGGATATCGCGGAGATTGCTTTGTAAAGTACATGGTTGTCTAACCACCATGCTGTACACGTGACACTAATACAAAATAATACTGAATGTCAACTGTAATTGAAAAATACAATTTAAAAAAAGCATTAAGGAGAACATAAAAAGGAGAGAAAAGCAGAGACTCGGGATTTAAAGAGGGTGGAAGGAGCACTGGGCAGAGGGAGGCCTCGAGTCTCCTCAGCCCTTTGTGTTCACCTGCCAGACCTCGGACTCGTGAGGGGCGGATGCAGCTCCCGAGACCCCAACTTCCCGTCTGCCCAAGTGAAGAGTTGGACTAACAGCCCCAGGAGCCATTTCCATCTAGTATTCCACAGTTGATTTGAAATTCACTTCCTCCTCTTACATCTGCTCACCCGAGAGATGAGCAGTTTTCAACATTGGCTGCATGTTAGAATCACCTGGGGAGCTTTTCAAACATGTGAGTGCCTGCATCCCAACCCCTGGGTCTATGTAATTGGTCTTTTGAGAGTCTCAGATATCAGTAGTTTTTAAAGCGTTCCTAATTTGATTTTACTGTGCATCCAAAGTTGACAATTACCCCTCTTGGGGGGGGGGGGCGGGAATGCTTAGGAGCAGTAGAAATGGAGCCTTTGTCTCTCCTCTGAGCTCAGGAGGGTGTCTGTATTCAGCACATATGTTTCTGTCCCACCATAGCAGCCGAGAGTCTTCAGGAAAAGGGAGAACAGAGAGAAAAGATGCCCCCACCCCTCCATTTATTGCCCTGTCCATGCAGGGCGCTCACCATGGACAGCCACAGACCAAGGCCACCCGATCTTTTAACCGGCTCCATTCTATCATTTCCTCCTCCACACAGAGAACTGGGTTCATCAATAAAGTATTATTAGAGTAGAAGTCATTTTATCCATCTCTTTTAAAAAAAACTTTCAGAAAAAAATTCTTGCATGTCACATTCTTAAGTTTGACACCTTAGGAGCTTTGGAGATGGCCTCAGCTGGAGACTGGCCAAAAGCATATTTCCCTGAGAAAACGGCAGGGGGTGTGGGGACAGCCTCCTAAGTGGTGTCCAGACAGCTTTGCCATAGGGCACACCTGGGTTTAGTCACCCAAAGAGGCACCACTGGTGGGCCTCACACCTCCTGACACCAGCTTGATTCCCTGGAGGGGGGATGAAAAAGGACCGTGAACTCCACGTGCCCAGCGGCAACCCTTGCACCTGAGAGCTGCCCGATGGCTGTTTGCCGAGTGTCGCTAATGTTTGACGGCTCTGCGCCTTCCGGATCCCGGAGGCCTTCCTCCTCCTCTAAGCAGCTTCAGGAGGCCCCGGAGATTATCCTCCTCCCTCCAGCCGCCCCCCTCCCAAGCCAGCAATTAAGTCTCCGCACAGAAAGCAAGTCAGGGGTGGCTTCCCATCAACTCTGTGACAGCATAATCCACCTCCCCCCTTTTCTTAAGAGCAAAGCAAAATAATGGGACACACTTAGAAAAAGGCCCGGCAGAAGAAACTCCAGGCTGTTGTTTATAGTTATTGCTGAGTGGAGGGACTGGGGGTGATTCATATTTCCTCCTTTTTATTTGTACTTTGTCATTTTCCTAAAATGAACACGCACTGTGGTGGTAAGGAGGAGTGCAATGTTCTGTTTTTAAAAGAAGATAACCATCTGTGCACTATCGGCTTTCGGGAGGGTCCAGAAGTCCCACTCACCAGACTGGAATTCATTCTCGATAGACCTGTGGTATGGGGGGCTGGGACAGCCGGCGGCACTTCATCACCACCTGAAGTCACATTTTTAATCATCTAAATCTGAACTTCCAATGGTATCCTTTTTCTTTTTGCACATTTAGCCTACAGGTGAAAGAATTCACATATGAGCCAATCCACCCCAAAGAAGAGAGTGCAGTGGGTGAGAGGCCTGGGGCGCGGTTCAGGCTCTCACCAGCGGGCACCTGCTTCGTGGTGTTGTTCAGAGCGTGGGCCAGGCGTGAGGGAGGAGGTGTGGACTGGGCCTGGCCCGTGTAAGTTGCATTCAGATTGACCTAGGCACTTACAGTTTTTCCTTTTCTGAATCTCTCAGCCCTGGACCTAGGTGCTCCTCTTCCCCGCTGCCCCGCTGCCCCGCTGCCCCGGTTAGAGCCTAACCAACGCCACAGGATGGCCCCTGGACCCCAGGTCTCCCGCCCACGGTCCCTCCAGGACGCTGCCAGGTCCTCATCTCCCCCCACTGTCGTAATTCCACCTACCTTCTTCACATCTGGGACATGAGAAGGGGTGGGGGCATCTTTTCTCTTTGTGTGAGCAACCCAACTTACTATCCCGATGTCCAAGGGAAACACAACTTCTCTGTCAGGGACCACCAGGCTGTCCTCAAACTTGGAGGTCGGAGTGACGTTGAGCAGCCTGGAGGCCACCTCCAGCGTGCCGTTGCGGGAGCGGCCGAGGAGCAGGCTGCAGCGGTCAGCCCGCAGCAGCTGCGCCAGCCTCTGCAGGGCCCTGTGCGCCACCGCTTCTGCGCAGCCCGCCTCCTCCCGCATGGCCTGGAGCAGCTCCACGCACAGTGCCGCCTCATCCTCCGGCGACAGCCCCGGGAAGGACCCACTGGCCGGGCCCTGCACCTCCCTGCGCTCGGAAGCTTCACCCAGCGCCACCGTCTGCAGTTTCTTGTTGAAGTACTCCTTGGCAAACCGAGGGTGGTCCTCCAGGTATCTCTCCACCGCCTCTTGGCTAATTTCACCCATGGCGTGGCTTGCTTTGCTGCTGTAGTTCCGAAAGGAAGACCCTCCGGGCACCACCTGGGGCAATGGACCAAGAAGAAACTACATCGTGGTCAAGGTTACTGAGGAGATCCTAAGTGGCACCTTGTTGGAACCCCAAAGGTCAAGCAGAATGATTGCTTACGAGAGCTTTCAAACTCGGTACTCTTGGGGTGTGACAGAAGGTCCTGGCTTAGCGTGGGATTCGGGAAGCATAGGATTACAGAGTTCTTCAGGACACAAAACCCCTAAGCATTATTAGTTTATAAATCCTCAGAGAACCTTCGGAGCATCTTAGATCAGCCCGGCAAGTGGCAAGTTGCAGCAACCGTTCCAGAAATAGCGATGCACATTCTGCAGCTAGAAAGGACCGCCAACATATCCATGAATTGTATTACATTAGCATCAATTGACAACTTGAATCATTCTTTCAAGAGAGCGATATGAAGTGAAAATACCTACACTTTGGATGTGTCTGTTTATACAGCAGCTTTAATGAACACCAGGGGAGATGGAAGGGTTTAACATCAACACAACATAAAATGGAATATTAATTTGTCTTTTTCTTAAAAGTCCTTTGATCATCCAGGTTGCATGGCCTACTTTTTCTCTAAACCCCTCACTTCTCAATCCTCCTCACTTCAGAAAGCTGGACCTCAGAAGTGTTTTAAAGGAACAAACCTTGGACTTGCAACTAGAGAGGTGAACGTGGCAGAACATTTGCCTGCGTGTGATCCGGGACTAATCAAGCCACAGCATCAATAATAACCCTTATCAAGAGACATGGTCACCAAAAGCAACCCATGCAGCCACTAACTGGGTTTTTCTGCTAAGCATATTAGTTTGGATTTTGTTTTCAATAGTAAGAGCCAGATCTCATGCATTTTTGCTCCAAAGTACCGCTGTTAAATCTACCGGATAAAACCTGTCTTGTCTGTTGCTAGGATCTGTAATGTCTCAGGGACTTCTGGCCTGGAAAGCACACTTACCACTACTTAGTTTTGTTTAATGTTCAATTTATTAAGCTTTTACATTGATTAAGCACATTTTCCCAAATATTTAAACACTATTATGCAACTCATAAGTCAAACTACACATTTCATAAACTAATTTCCTTAAACATTTAAATGCTGATTTCAACCTTAGTCAAGATCTATAAACATTTCTATAAAGCTACAAACTATACAACAACTCTTTGCATGGAAACACACATAACATGTTATAGTGACTCTGAAAGTTACTGCTTTTCCCACATTTAAGTTCACTTCAAAACTGCAGCCTTATGGGTTTCACATATTTCTCCAAACTTAAAGCTTCGCCTGTTTATAGTGATAATAGTCTTATTAGAAAACAAATAAAAGAGATCCACTGTCCTATAGAAATCCATTCATAAACAAAGTTTTCAAGACCATTTTCATAGATTAGAGGTAAGGCTGCTTGGGAATGAAAAAGAAAGGGACAAGCGTGAGGCACAACTCCAGGCAACAGTTGATGGGGCGGGCAATCGATCAGCTGGAAAGAGAAGCCAGAAAGCGGGCTCGCTGGTGACTACTTTGAGCACTGAAGAACGTTTTACGAAGACAAAGATTGTTTTAAAGGAAAATACTGGAAAGCTGCCTTTTAGCGCATACACAGGTACCCTCCCCCTGCTGGCCCCCCCCCCCGCCCCCGCCCCCCCAGTCCTCGACTGAATCCCATCCATCGTGGCCACTGTTCCTTTTGTTTGGGGTAGTCCTTGCCGTCTCTAGCCCGTGCTGACAAGACTTCTGTGTCTCTTATTGGCTGGTCAGTCCCAAGCACTGAAAAGACAAAATTAAATATATTTAATTATATATATAGTATATATCATATGTTATATGATATATTATATATATTATGTGTGTTTATGATATATGATTATATATAATACTTATATATAAATATAATTGTAATTTATATAAGATATAATTAAATATATATAAAATTACCAAACAGATCACTTAGAATGAATTTTTGACACTGTAAAATAATTGTTGATTTTGTTAAAGATCACTATTTAACTTTTATGTCAGCATTTCTAGTTGATTTAAACATAGATTTTATAAAAACAGAACATTAACTTGTAGGGGAAATGAGGGGAAAGGTCAATATCCTAGATGTTATAGACATTAACAATCATTTGTTTTGATAAAGCATATCTGAGATAATAACTAAGTTGATATGAAAACTCCATTTCATTTACTGGGTATTTTAAATTTTAGAAATATAAGCCGCAGACAGGGTAATGACAATGAAAAAGTGCTCATAAGAATAGCTAACATTATAATATGTAATCTGTGCCAGGGACTCTTCTAGGACCCTAACATGTATTATGTTGTTTAATTCTTACAATAACCTCATGACGTAGGTGCTATTATTACCTGTATTTTACTGCTAAGAAATTGAAGCACAGAGAAATATAAATAGCTTGCTCAAGGTCACACAGCTAGTAAAGTGATAGTGACCTACCCCAAACCTATCAGTTTAAATAGGATTAAACCAAAAAGTGCACCCCTGAGGGGTACAACACATCCTATTAGCTGCTTACAGAGGAATATGCAAAGACCTTCCCTTTAAGGAGTTTAAAATCTAGACAGATATATAAAATGTCAAACACTAATACAAGAATTAAATAAAAATCCCAGGAACACTTTTTAAAAATCTACAGGTATACTAAAGAATGGTTTAACTTCCTTAAACTTTCTGTTTAATAAGTTTATGTTCTTCAGTAGTATGCTATATTAATGAACACACATAATATTTAATTCCAATACTACTAAAAATTTTCCACTGAAGTTAACTATTTCTAGTGGTAGTAATGCTTATAAAATAGCCAAAACTATGCACAAGGTTGAAACACACAAAACCAACAATATCCTGAACTGGGTACCTTCCAGATCATATTAGACCCATTCTTCAGCTTCGCCTTAGCAAAATTCTTCATTCTTCCTGCTATTTATCACCAAAAGGCATCCCCTAAGGGCAGGGATGTCAGACACATCCTGGCGGATAAGTGCAAAGGGCCCTTTTACCTTGCCCATTTGCTCGAGAGAGAGAGTATCTTCCTGTGTCTAATTGATAGGTATGACCAGGTATCTCAGAGATGATTCATGGTGGGATCCATGTGATTTTCTTTTTTTTTTAATTTATTTTTAGGGAGGGAAGGGAGGGAGATAGAGATAGAGATAGAGAGAGAAACATCAATGTGCAGTTGCTGGGGGTTATGGCCTGCAACCCAGGAATGTATCCTGACTGGGAATCGAACCTGGGACACTTTGGTTCCCAGCCCGCACTCAATCCACTGAGCTATGCCAGCCAGGGCTTGATCCATGTGATTTTCAACTAAATCAATTAAATTCAGCGACAACCTTGTAACTGCTGGAAAAAAAGCAACCTTATTGAAAAAATTAGTTTGACTTTTTGTACCTGAACATGTTGGCTGAGCAGTCTTTTCATTTTCCCACCATTTTTTTGGCATCTTTTAAATGCAGTGAGAAGGCAAATACTACCCATTTTTTATTCTTGTTCCATTTTTCTTGACCTCTCCGTCAAGATGTGGATGTAAATGTCAGTTTATACAAAAGGGAGCTGAATAGAAATGCTTAACTTTTATAATGGGTAAGGACATACATTTCTTGCATCAGAACTTCTTTCAATTATGGTAAAACATTTTTCAATATTTCCTAGGAGTTAGTGGCTTGTTTGCTGATGCTTTAGTTAAGGTAACATTAATTTGTTACTGCAGGTAACCCTCAAATCTCAGCAACTCATTCCAGTGCAAGTTTATTTCTCATTCGCATCAAGTTAATCACTGGTGGGGTCCCAGGCTGATGGAGGCTCCACCAGCGGGCAGAGGAGGAGAGAGAGGCAGGATGATGGGACAGGCTCACGTTTTCAGGAGCCCTCTCTGCGAGTCACACACAGCACTTTAGTCCACCTTCCATTCACCACAAGTTAGGCCTGGGGTCTTAGAGAGATGCTGGAATTCGGGAGGTGCCCTTTGGCAGATCAGCCTCTCCCCCAAAATTCTACATCATGGAAGAAGAGGACAAATTATTTCAGTAGAAGGATGATTAGCCAGCCCTGCTACAATGGCTAGATCCTGAGAAATTATATTTTAGAAAGAATGGCCTCTTACCAGGCTTTTTCAAATAAATATTTTATGAAACTTACTTAAAATGACTAATTTCAACACAACAAATTAAATCAATATCTACTGATTGAGCACCTACTATGTGCAGGTCTCTTGATAAATCCCATGGAGAAGTTGGTGGGGGTGGACGACAAGATGAATGAGGCATGATCTGTCTCCCCATGAAGTATGGCAAGAAAGTGACATTTTGTGTATATTGTATGCAATTTGTAAGATATAATTGAAAATATAATTTTACATCTAGAAAAAAACTGCAAAGAGAATATTTGTCTTATATTCTGATTAAACACTTTCATTGTAGGAAAATTTGGAAACTACAGAAAGGTCCCAATCAAACAAACAAAAATGAGACAAAAACACCCCACGCTTTTACAGGACCCTAAGCCTATCACACAGGGGTAATCACTGTGAAATTTTTCCCACTGATATTTTATCTACACGTGCATATTTGAAATTTAATTTTATGTAGATAAATTTCAAAGCACTGAAGTTAAAAACATCGGCTGACCTGTACTCACATATGCGTAATCATGAAGAACTTTGAGAGAGAATGCCAAAGCAAACTGTTTTTCTTTGCTGGTATTTGGGACACCAACGTTCACAATTTATCATTACAAGACAGAGATAGAGTAGGAGGAGGAACAAGAAACTAACAAATGAATGAAAACATGTTGCTATAAAAACAACCTCTATAAAAATGCATTGAAATCCCCTATGTTTATTCAATAGATGGTGTGCGCAAGGACTGCCAGAATATGATCTAGGAGAAATGGTTGAAAGGGCTAGGGGTATAGGGGAACTTTTCTAGCATAAT